AGTGTGGTCTCGTGGAACGAGCATGGCCAAGGAGTCAGGAACTCCCACGTTGTAATTTTGGGTCACCAGTGATTTGCTTTGGTGCACGGAGCCATTTAACCCCTGTGCCTGCCAGCACCCCAATCACTAACGAGCAGCGTAATGATCACCTCCTTGCAGCAGCATGATCAATGCATCATCCTAGGGCAGGAGAGGACTGGGATCCTGATGTACACAGTGTCAAAAACACCCTGAAAAGGACCTTCTCCCATCTTCACCCGCTGTGGGTTTGGATTAACCAGTCTGTATCAGAAGTGATGCATTGGATGGCTCTTGTGGAAGTCCTTCTGCTCAGAACTCAGAGCACCTGTAAGCGCAGTACTGCCACTGCTCACTTCTCCCAGCAGTGAAGGAAGTCGAGCCTTCTTGGTAAGATCACATCAGCTTTCTGCATCCTTAGTGAAGTGAAAAAGCAAACAAGGAAATTCTCTTCTAGTCTATGAGCCTACAGATTTCCAAAAAGCTGAGGAAGGTATCAGACACTGCCTCTGCACAGAAGATTGTGTGGCAGTGGGATTATAAATAGCATGAAATGATTGGCTCTAGCTCAGTTAAAAATCAAATGAAACCAACATTTATACCGAATTAAGGCTCACATGCTGATTTCACAGCCTCTTCTTAGCAGTGCAGCCCCTGCTATGGCAGTCGGACTCAGGCACTCCATTCGGGACGCTTTTGCATTGAGATTACAAGTAGACTTCCCATTAAACCTAGAAACCCCACGCAAACCAAATCCATATCCAAATCCTTACAGCTTCTGGGTGACGAGGATGGAAATAATCCTACAGGACGATATTGTAGATGACAGTGAAACTGTGATCTTACCCATTAAACACATCCTGTTTTACTTCTCCCTGTGTTGTTACACCTGGTCATTGCATTAATAAAGGTTTTATTGGTGGAAAACCAGAGATGATCCAGCAAAAAACCCATCTCCAATCAGGCAACAGCTATTTTGTTTCTTCACTCTGGTTCCTTTTTTCCCCCGATCTCAGTTTCTCAGGGCTTGTAATAAAAAGGAAAAGCTGCTTGCAAAGCTGAGGGAACTGCCTTGCTGATAGACTGCACCTCTGAGGTTTTGTCAGCAGCTCGAGGGGATTTCTGTTAACACCTTGAATCATACCAGAGAACTGCTCCGCTCTTTGGAAGGCAAATGTCTGCAAAGGAGGATGGGCGTGGGAACAGCAGGGCAGCACAAAACCTGACTGGGCAGTGTGTGAGCGAGCACTGCTGGGGCTTCTTCAGGACATGGGAGAAGGACACGCTGCGGCATGCGGAGGAGGCTGCAGAGTCTCATGGCCGTGTGTTCCATCTGCTGGGGGGCCTCTCACTGGTTCAGACTGGTAACCACATCAGGGTTTGGTGCCTTCTCTGGCTCCGTGCCGAGGGCTGGAGCTGACCCTACCAAATCCTGAATCCAAAAGGAGGCACTGGGACTGCAGAGGCCGTCTCTTCCACCTCCCAGAAAAGCAGAGCACACCTCCAGTCCCTATCCATCACCAAGGCACTGTGCAGCTGAGGACAGGCACAGTGGGAGCCCTTTGCAGCCCCCACATCACACAGGCTGTCCAGGCAAAGAAGTTATTCCAAATATTTTCCACTGGGCACCTCCCAGTGCCTCCGGCTGCAGCTGTGCCATTCAGCAGTCAGAGCACCCTGCCACTACCACTGCCAACAGCGGCGCTTTGCTCATTTCATTGGTGATGGAAAAGGTCCTAAAAAGTCCAACAAACAGCATTTTTAGTGCACGCTCTCTTCAAGAGAAGAAACTGAAACCTTTTATTTTCTTTCTGAGAAAGAGAGAGATTGCTCTCTTCTGGATAGCAGACCTTAACAGCAAAGAAATGTGAGCCTTCAGGGTATCTTTAACCCAATTTTAGAAACTCCTAGAAATAGGAGTTATTAAAGGACTTGTTGCTGGGAGCTCAGCTCCAGAGTTTTAAATGGCTCTGAAACATCCTGATGGCAAAAAGCAAGAAAACAAGAGCAAAACAGGGATCCACTGTCTGATATTCCCATCTCTCTAACAAAGTTCTTTCTCAATAGTAAAGTCTTGGTTGATTTTACAAGAGTACATTTCTGGATACCTTATTAAGACTGGTGCACAAACATGCTCTCCCACCCTGCAGTGACACAGCTGTGCACGGGGAAAGGGAAATCTGTTGCCAGAGCAGAGTGGGCGTTTAGTCTGCACTGAGGTGTCGTGTATCTGCAGTGATCTGCATCACCATTTACCCAATTAGGGCTTTCATCTCTTAGTAGCCTTATTTATATAATCAACACTTGCTTCCGTGGGTTTGCTACGGCATTTCATTAGCAGGCAATATATCCAGGTCAGCCCTGGGAGCTTAGAGCAGAATCCCACTCCCTCAGCAAGATCTGGAAATTTAGGTCAATTTGCATCAACTTTGATGAATCTTTAGAACTAAAATGATTAAAGTGACAACTTCCATTGACTCCCCGCTGAGGTCTCTGACCTTAAATCACGGGGGTCACTAAAAATATGTTAAGAATCTAAATAACCTTCAGTTCCAAATCCCTTCAGATTCAGCATCTCTGTGCAGTGGGCACCAGGATGTCTTGTAGGAACTGCACTGTTTTAAACACTTCACAGGTTCTCAATAATTAAATGTTTCATGGGAATTTAATTAATTTCAATGAATATCCTTTTTCTTTCCAACAACAGCAAACACATTTTTTAAGAGACAGCAGAACACATCAGTATATGTTCATCAACTACCAGTTCTTCACATTCTTGACATAGCCATACCCTTCTGGATATAGGGCTGCATAGCTTCCTTCCTTCCATCTTTCCTCATGGCCACAGCCCAGCCCAGGGTACCTCGGTAGCTCTCCCTGTTATCACAGAATCAGAAAAGTTGGAAAAGACCACAAAGATCATCCAGCTCAACCTCCCCCTCCTTCCCTTCCCCCCCATGCTCACCACATCCCTCAGTGCCACATCCCCACGGTTCTTGAACACCTCCAGAGATGGTGACTCCACCACCTCCCTGGGCAGCTGTGCCACTGCAGCACCACTCTTCCTGAGAATAAATTCTTCCTAATATCCAACCTCTGGGGCCCTCTTCTGTCCCTCAGGGTCTGTGCCTGCATAGCTGTAATGGCAGTAATGCGCGTACAGCTGTTAAATGTTGTCTGCAAGAGCTGTGGTAATTGCACTTAAGCACTGCTGCATGTGCATCTTCCATGTGTGACCCTTCAGATGACATTATTTTCAGCTGGGTCCCAAATGACACATTTTGTATATTAGTATTTAGTGTCAGTCTATAATTAGAAGATAATTTTTTTCCAGAGCTAATGAAAAGATGCCTTAGCAACCTTTGGACATGATCCCAAATCCATTAATGCAGCTCTAAGTTATTTCATTTTCTGTGGGACAGAACAAGAAATTTGAAGAAAGATGCTGCCAAGGATTGCCAAGCAGGAATCTGCCAAACCATGGTGAAAAAGGATGGAAGAACTCTGTATCTGTCCCTGTTATATCCAACTTGGAGAGAAATTGGGAAAATTAAATGAGTAATACATCCTGAACTACAATGATATATTGATGGAAATGTGGCTGAGAATTAGCTCCCATGGAAAAATTAAGAAAAATACACTTCTATCATCATAATGAAGACTTAAACTGTTATTATGAGTCATTAATGCCAGACTATAGAGCCAAATATGGCAAGTGTAGGCATACATCAACTGTATTTCTTTCCTGCACGCCAGCTTTACGTGTGGATGGTGTCCCACCACGCCGAGCTACAGCAGTTATCACATCTGGCTCCCTTCCATATCTGCATCTCCAAACCCAGATTCCACACCAAAACTAATACTCCCAGCAACTCCACAGCCAGTTGTCACCACGTTGCCTAGAAGTACGCTTGGTTGAGTACCTGGGAGTACAGGTTAATGGCCATCAATCTGAGAGGACTAGGAGGGACCCCTGCCCTGCCTGGTGTTCCTTCACCACCTCTGTTCTGTGTGCTCCCTTCTACTTTCATAACGTACTACCAAAAGCAACTAAAAGCCTATCAAAATTCAACAAAAAGCACCAAACAACTGCCACAACACCAAACCCTCAGCATTTCTGTCCTCGTCACCACAGACCAACATGTCTCCTAGGGATGAGCACTTACCCAGAGGAGCCCTGCAGAGCAGGTGGGGCTGGCCATGCAGCTGATGAAGGACATTCCAGGGCCCTGCTTTGACTGTGGGTTTCCCACAGGGTCCCCAACAAGGGCCTATGCCTGCTCTCCATAGGCAGAGCCCTTGGTGCACGGGCTGTGAAAACACCACCTACCCTGCAGCAGGAATGCATGCCCTGGAGCATCTTCAGCTCCCTGCGGTGGTCCAGACATCAGCTTTTTGGATTTATTAGTGAGGTAAATCCTGCTCAGAATGTATCAAAGCAGACAAAGAAATACAGTATAAATAGAATGAAGAACCACTGTGAAAGGCAAATGCACTTTACATAAGAAAGTCTGGAAAGGTCACCAGGATGTTTGTGGGAAGGATGCGAGCATTTTTCAACTTTGAATAATGAGACCAAAAGGTGGACAAAGAAAGCACTGTGCTGTCACCCGAGAGAGGGAATAAAAATTGCCACAGACTATGAATCAATTCTAAACCAATTGTGCTCTAATGAAGCACTCCACAATACAGATCCCAAATCATACACCTCAACGCCATCAGCAGAACAGGGCTCTTAATTAATGCTTTTCTGGAACTTCTTTCAAAAGTTGATGTCTCAAACTAACATTTCTCTCCCACTGGACAGCCTCTGTATAAATGAAGAAGATAAAAGGGACCTTCCCATCCAAACCATGCAGCATAGAAACAGATTGCAAAGAAAAGCCCAGTGCCTGATTGTTGGCATCATTCAGGGTTACTTCCCACTCCACGATTCCCAACAGCATATTGTACCCATTTACAAAAAGACAGGAATTAACAACAGCTCATGACCTTTTTATTTTAATGAAATTTAAAAAGGCAGTTATTAGTTATACGTACACACAACTGATTCTGTACTTGTTAGTCATAAATATAGAACATTCAGAAGTACAAAATACACTTTATCCACAGCACAATTTCACATCCATATGAAGAGTTTAAACAGATAAGTACCCAAGTGTCTAACAATGACAGAAGTCCATTTTTGGAGGTTTCTTTTTTTTTGTGGTTTAGGTTTTTTTTATTTTTTTAATTTTTATTTTTTTTTAAAGACCATTAATCTACACAAAGTAATCAGTGCCCACAGTCATCAGTTCCATGAAATGCACTCTGGCTTAGAGCAGGAAAAGACTGACCTTCTATAGACAATTAGATGCCATCACCTTTCATTTGCTCCATTAACAGGAAGAACACAAAGCTCACATTCTCTTCTTCTCACAGCTTACAACTGCAAAAAATGGGACTGGCAAAAATCACCTGGATCCCAAAAGAGCACTGCCAGGAAAAGTGAAAATATCTCAACTAGAAATTAGTCCACCCGATACCTTGCAAACAAAGAGCAACAGCAGTATGACACTGGTAAGGCATTGATGACAAAATGGCTGTTATTATTCTCGAGAAAAGAGTACACTTATGTATAAAAATATATGTCATAGCAATTGGGTAAATCCAACACTATTTAACACTGTGCCAAAAGTAAGTAAGAGTTAAAAAGGCAGTACTGCAAGAAATATTTACAGTTTCATACTGTACTTGAACAACAGAAAAAAAAAAGGCAAAGCTACAAATGGAACTGCCTGGTTAAAGCATAACTGTAGGTACTGCCAGTAGTGCTTCTAACAAGGAATGTGATGGAGTCCCTCTGGTTAAACAGGACAGCTTGTTTGAACTAAGGAACATACATATTTCAGTATCTAAAATCTTGGTCTACATGCCCACTTGTGGAAATAGCTCACCCAGACACTATTATTTGCAGTTTAAATATCAGCAGATTCAGTTTTGAGAAACACTGTGTTTGCAACACAGTTTGATCAGAAATCACAGCTTTATTTGCAGCTTAGCAATGAACACACAAAAGAAACAAGAAATCCACCACCTGTGAAATTCTAGAGACTGGCAGCCAAAGCACCAGCAAAGTTACACCAATGGCACATAGTAAGGATGTTAGCATCCCAAATGCACTTTACAATGCCAGCTATAATATAAAAGAAGTTTCTTTAGCAGCCAAACACGAGACAAAAAGATGCGGCACAGCTCAGCCTGCACGGCACGATCTGCCACAAGAGCTGGGATGGGGCTTTGCAGAGCAGCTAACACTGACACTGTGGATGCTGAACCTGCTCGGTCACTTGGCTAGAAGCACAGAGCTGCTGAACCTGAAGCTTGCTAAGCTCCCTTCTCCCTGGAAAGGCTGCCCACACCTCCCCATGTGTGTGTGGCAAGGAGCTATGGGAATGCAGTGGTAAGGAAGGGTGGAAAGAAAGCAGAGGAATGGATGACCAAGGCTTGCAGGGAAAGCTCCAACCTGGTGCCATCTGCACCTCAATGGAGCAGCCATCCCCTTTCCCAAACAGAAAGGTGGGGGGCTACCAGATAAGAAGCAGCTTCTCATGTCGCTGTATGGAAAAAAGAAAAACACAGCAAATAAAAGAAGGGAAAACGTGCTTGAAATTCTGCTAACAATGCACTTTTAACTGCACAGTCAAATTTTTTGAGATAGGACAAGTGGGAATGGCTTTAAATTTAAAGAGGGAAAATTTAGATTAGATGTGAGGAATAAATTGTTTACCCAGAGGGTAGTGGGTCCCCAGCCCAGGCTGCCCAGAGCTGTGGGTGCCCAAGGCCAGGCTTGATGGAGCCCTGGGCAGCCTGGTCTGCTGGGGGCTCCCAACCCATAGTGGGGAGGTTGGGGCTGGGTGATATTTGAGGTCCCTTCCAACCCAAGGCTTTCTGTGATTCTAGGATGAAGTCATCACTGCTGATATTAGGATAAAGACAACTGCCTATATCTTATTTGTAGATTGAATTCCAAATAAATTATGCTCAGAACAGCCTGTCACGTAAAATAAAACAGAGCAATAGCATTTTTTGATTCATTTTTCATTTTACAGTGAGAAATTCTAGAAGAACTGAAATGTATCATCTCCAGCATCTTCTGCACAGAGACAAAAACTGCTCATCTGCTGCTCTCTCCCTCACGATCAGATTCTACAAACTGCTGCTCCCTACCAAAGTGTGCAGATGCTGACCCTGCCTCCCCCCAGCCTGCACTGCACCAAGGCTTCTTTTTCAGAAATAGTGAATTTCTGAGAACAGCAGAGCTTTGTTTATGTAATTCAGAGAGCAGTCATTCCCTCAAGCAGCATGGGTGGAAAGGGAGAAGGCTCCAAGAGAATTAACATTCATGTATTCAAATGAATTGTGCGTAAGTGCATGGCTTGCTCACCTAAGAATGTACTTTCCCTATTTCTGGGAGAGAAGAGGTATGATTTTTTGTTTGTTTTCAGTGTGATTTTGGTGAGGCAAGTATAGACCAGGAGATCTGAGGTCTCTGCAATACTGCAATTAGATACATTAAAAAATTTCCTAAAAAAAAAAGTGTCTCTAGCCCCACTTGCACGTAGGATAAGAGATTGGTCCCAGACTTGGCAAGAGAAAAAGTAGAAAAGGCTCTTCCTGGATACTGAAAACTACATGCTGTTCTGCCTGAGGTCTGGGGAAGCAAAGTAAGGTGGAAAAACACCCCATGGTCCCTGTGCCACTGTTGGCCTGGCAGCCTGCATTGCCTTTCTGCATGATGCCAGGGCAAAATGTAGGACAGGGGCCTGCCTGCTTTTCCAAGATGTTTTCCTGGCAACATGGACTACAGTAACGTATGTGGTCCTTCCCATTGGATCATAGCCCACAACTCAAGAGAAGCTAGAAGCAGCTAAACCGTAGTGCTGTGAAGTCTATGAATTGCTGTGAACATTAGGATCTAGATGTGGGGCTGGAGATACTGGGATCTAGATAGGGGTTCCTGTTTCAAGGCCCATGATAGCTCCAGAATATGCAAAGGCTCCAGGAAGCTCACCCTATTCCTTCCCAATCTTTCCAACCTCAAAGGTTGCAGAAAATCTGCACGCAGGAACTCTGGGCTCCTCATCCTTTCTGAGCAATTCCTTCTCCCATCCCAAAAGAAATGATTAAAAAGGCTGAGCTTACAAACCCAACCTCTTGTAAATCATCATATGCATGAGATAAGAAACAAAAAACTTGCTACCACATTTCTGATGAATGGATATAGTAGATGACTAGCTCTAAAGGAAGGCTGATGAACTTACCTCTGTGGAAAAGCACACAGCATTCAGAATAGCCAGTACTCAAAACACTTTGTAAGGTGAAAACCCAGTATTTAACAGAAAAAGGTTAACAGGGTTAACAGAAATGACTGCTTGGGAATCCAAGCAAAAATTCAAGTTATCACTGTATACAGTGGACAAGAGTCCAACTGATATCCATTACCATTACCAACTCTAAAAAAGTGTATGCTACAAAACCATCTCACTGCTTACAGCAAATGAGCTTGAATGATTTCACTGTAATAGGCCACCACCTTGCACTGCTAAAACGTGAGGTTTCACAGTATAAAAAGTACTTCACAGAAAGGAAATGCAGCTAATATAGAAATGCAATCTTGATGGATTTACAGTCATTTTTATGAGGGAGTATTTTGGGGAAAGCAAGATCAAAATTAAAGCAGCCAGTGAGAAATATGTAGAGTTACATAGGCCTCAATTCAGTGCAAAAACAGACTAATAGCTTCTGTAAGTAAATGCTTGTTCTGAACAGAGAACCACCTGAATTAAAAGTAAGAACACTATGTGAAGTGATGGAGACTCCTGCAGTATCTAAAGCCTCCACATACTGTCAAGCCTTCTCAGTACACTCCAGAATAGACCCTATTAAAAGGCAAAAGAAACCAGTACAGGAAATCACTTCATACATCACAAGATATACATAAAGTACCAAAATGTACACACATTCAAATTTAAGTTAGAAAAGGTGGAGCTGAATCTTCTGGTGAGAGAGGCCTACATTATGTTGCTTAATCTCACATTTAAAGTGAACTAAAAACTACAAGAACGAAAGAAAACAGAATATTCTGTCTGCTTCCAGAAACTTAAGCTTAAAGCAAGGCATCGAAATTGAGTGGTAGGCACTGTAATAACACATCACCTTACCTTTTCTCTGTTAGTCTTTGTTACTGCGTTATCTATTTAAAAATTACCATTCAAAGGAAATATTAGATATCATTCACATTCAAATATTTAAGACTCAGAGATATATATAATTTTTTTAAATCAAACAAAGTTTTTCATCTCTGAGGTAGATGACAATAAAATAAAAAAAATAACGGAGCTGTCAATGAACACTACCAAGAGCTGGAGCTCCTCTGTCGGCACTAACGCAGCCCGTGGAGGAGAGAGCAAGCCCTACACCACTATCTGTAATATGAGAAATGCATCTTCTGGTTTAGTAGCTTCTATAGAAATGCAACACAGAAAAAGCAGAGCCAAAAATATACTGAAATGGCCTTGAAGAAGAGCTTCCATTCCTGCTTCACAAGCTATTCAGAAAATGGTGGAAACATGCCCAGATCAGCAAAATCTTCTATGTTGTAGTTGCCAGTACCCTGCGTTGGATCCCCCGGCATTGGCAGCATGTCCTGCATGATAAGGAAAAATCAAAGTGATGTGTCACTTTCTAACACGTTATCCAGACACAAACTGTTTCCTGTTCATTCTTTCATTCTGTAAAACCAGAAAAGGCAAAAGGTTAGGTAAATAAGGAGAGAGCGGACCTGTGCAGGGTACTGGGCTTAGGTTTACATGCTGCTTATGTTTTCCCAGAGCTTTCTGAGCAGGATGTGGGATGTCAGCTTTAGATTGCTCCTCTGAGTAAACCACAGTTGAGCTGTCCCATAATACTCTTCCACAGGCTGAAACAATTCCCATTGTAATGGGCAGTTGCACAGGGAGAGAAGGAAACTCTCCAGCTTCACTGAGGGCAGCACTATATGAGAAGTATTCAGTATCTCTGACACTCCTGCACCCGACCAACAAGAAGTGCTGCTATGTCAGCATGGTGGTGGAAACGCATGATCTGTAAGTGAATGTACTGCTGCTCTGAGGGACACTGAAGCCTGGACACCCACCCTGTCTGACAAGCTGCCCAAGCAGCCTTCGTGTGCTTTCAGTGGCAGAGGAAATGGTGGAAACTTCTCAGAAGAAATGGGATTTCATGGTAATTGCTCCCACGTGTCTTGAGCCAAGTGAGCTCCCTGCAGGAGGCTTCAAAAATACTAAACCTTTCCTCTCAGCTGGAGACTGAAGCCACAGGGAAAAGACATCTCTTGCTGAGAAAACTAAGAGTTTACACTTGCTTTTCCTGTCAGTCCTAACAATAATAAGCTCTTACTGTAAAGCCAAGTTTCACCATGATGGATCATTATCCTTACAATAAAACAAAATCCAAAGAGCAGAGAAAACACACAGGATCTGCTCTGTGAAGGAATAACTGCTGAGGGTAGCTGTGTACTGAGGAGTCACCCCAAAAACAGGGAAGATGAAAATCCATCCAAGCTCTCAGTAGTTGCCAGTGGTGAAAAACAAGGCAGTGGGCAGAACAGGCAGCTTCCAAGCTGCCAAGGTCAGCCTTTATCTTTCCACACATTCCTCCCCAGACAAAGGGAAGCCCTATCTGCCCCCATCTGTTTCAATTCCCATCCCATTCAAGGCATTTCTGCTGCTGGGGCCTTTGAAGCAATGTCTCCTCAGTTACAGACTAGAAAGATGGCTCCTCTTCTGAGTCTGCCTCTCTCCTCACGTCCATCTAACCTAGGGCTGGCTTCAGGCACAAACAGCGCAAGCAATTTCTTGGAGGCCTTTCAAGTGAATCCAATTCTTCCTTTTTCCCATTTAATCCTTGGCGCTCCTTTGCCATAATTTCATAAAATATTTGCTGGGATATAGCATTTGTTTTAGACACAAGACAGTGCCTGGAGGGAGCCCTGTGTCTCTGCAGGCCATTGAATTCTGCTGCCATCAGCTCACTGAAATTACCCTGAAGATGCTTTTAGGTTAAAGTACATGCAAAGTGATTAAACTTTGCTTGGGGAGAGATACAACAGATTTATCTTGTCTGGGCCATATGGCATGCAGACAGGTATTCTAGGTGTAGTGATGTTATTTGTTCGTGTGAATGAACTGTTGCTTTCACACAGGAACATTTTCAGGCTAATGCCTCTTCTGCAGTGTTCCTGAGAGCAACTGAGCACAAGCCCAGTCTTGCAGGGAAATTTACTGTTTAAAAGATAATCAGGTGCCCAACATCAAAACCTTACTTGGGGCTTGAGCTCTCTTTTCTGCATTTACCTCCACTGTTTTGTTGCAAACTGTCTTCATCTAAATTAAAAACAAGTTATACAAGGACAAGAACTTATAAAGACTCACTCCACCTATAGTGATGGCCCAAAATTGTACTTGATATAACAAAATTAGGTAGGTGAAGAGGATTATTTACCAGCTGATATCTGACTGGATTTACCTTCAAAAACTTATTGGACACTATCTATGCAATATCACACTCCTTTCCCGCTTGAAGGAGAATTAAAAAAAAAAATTAAAAAACTACCAAGGAGAATTAAAATTAAGTCTAATTGGACTTGACTGGGATTTTAGAGGTCAGCAACAAGGTAAGAAAGAAACTGGAACCATTTCATGGCTTCCTTGCAAAATACACACACTCCAGGTACAGGGAAACCAGTGTTGTAACAACTTAAAACAAAACAGAAACACAGTTTTAGTTATTAGTTAGCAGCCAGTTCCAGCTAACAGCAGGCATGAGCAATGCAAACCCACAGCAGCACAGTAAGAGGTAACTGCATGAAGCCCTGCTAACACCCCAGCTCTCTGACAGCCACAGTTATTTGACAGAGGGATTTAGGGCTCACTGGGTTCTGCTCACCTGAAACACCTCAGTCTGGCTGGGCTGTGGGTGTGAGTGCTGGTCTCCACTCTGCTGGTTGTGATGCTGGCTCTGCCACTGGGACCAGACTTCGGACGGCCTCCCCTGGAACTGACTGCTGCTCTGACCACCTTCAGCTGGAAGAAGAGAGACAAGGCAGAAATCAGAGAGCAGCCCTTCGGAAAGCTGCTTTGGAGACTTCATCCACCAACACCTATATTTGCAAATGACCCCCTGAAAAAGACCCTGAGTGCCATTCATTTGCCATTTCACTTAACAGATAAACAAACTGCAGCATCCAAATATCTCTTTAATTAAAAAGCCTAATCATTTCTGCAGCAGTGGGTGTACAGTTCTCATCTGAGAAGCGCTTTCACATTTTGTATGTGATGTAAAAATAGTAAGATCAACAGGCAACAGCTCTGCTGTATTAAATGTAGACATTGCTGTATTAAAAATGTGGAGTGCTGTTAGCTACACTGTCTTAACTGCCCAATATTACAGCTGCAAAATGATTTATTTAGCACTAGCTTATAGCAAATTATTATTGTGTTATTATGCTGATAATTTCTTTTAAAGACTAAGGCCATGTAAATTCCAGAGAATGTAATAAGAACAGCAAGTTTTTATGGTAAAGACATTTAAAATGATGACTTCAGGGAGATGGATTTCTTCCAAATGACCTGCCAGAAAAAAATATGATGCCACACACGTTAATTCAGTCATCTATTACACATACACTGCATGAGCAGTCACAGCTCACACTTAAGCAGAATTCATTTTGCCCTGTATTTCTATAAACTGGCCCCAAATTTATACATTTTTTGATAGTTTTAATTACTTTCAGTATCTCCTTGTAAGATTTAGCATGTTAGAAAGCTTCCTGAGAGGCTAACACTTTTCCTCCTTTTTTTCTTTTAATAGCTATTCCTACTGTTTTTGCCTGTCTTCCCCATGCTAAGAGAACCAAGCTTGGTAGATCTGGTTGTCCCAGATTATCAGCACCTCCTCCAAAGATACCAAACTTCCATGTACCATGTTATGTCAGGTCTCCAATAATCAGACTCCGTAATGTCAAATCAATTACTGTTCCATAATCAGTGTTTCAATCCTTTTGACTACCAGCTAAACCAAGCAAAACAGATAAAATGAACATTTTACAGGATGGTATACAGGCTGCAGTGATGTATTTCCATCACATCTGAAGTCGACAATTACAGCTCTTCCTTACTGACATTACCACACAGTAATTCAGCTGACTCAGAAATCCTACATTCGTTTTATTAGCTAAAATAAAATTCATCTAAGTTGCTCTTAGAAAAAAAAAAAACCCTGCAATATTTGTTTTCCTCAGAAGAATAAGTTGAAATTAAGTCAGTGAAGCAAATGACGCTCCTTTTCAGCAGAAGAGTGACTGCAAGCCAGAGGTTGAAGACATTCGTCTTTGTGAAGGCTGTTATTAATAGCATCCAAACTGATGTAGGTCAGGAAATGTTTCTCATTAGGTGAAAAGGTTCCTGCCAAGTTGCTTAGGCCTGAAATGCAAGGCTGCCTCGTAAACAAATGTACAAAGCCTAATGGAAATGAAAATGGAGTCATGAATAAGCTCTGCAGGAAAAGCTCCATTTCACTGTACTTATTCCAAGCAATGTAGCACAGGTCTGAACTCAGGGAGGCTGATCTGCAACGGAGCTGCTCCTGTCGTAGTCTCAAGATAGAAGTGAAAAACTGCACCCATTAGCATGATGCTACCTAAACTTTCTGGAATTGCAGACTACTATCAGCCAGCAACATCTTCCATGCACTCTGTGTGTGTTTATCACTGACGAACCTTTAATTTTTTTTACTCTTGAATCTTGTTGTGCTCCTGGAGTCCAGAAATCTTCACCAAAGGGTTACAGTCTGAAAGCCACTAGCTGAGAACAGAAAAGGAAAACCACTTCCCAACATGGCAGCACAATCCTGTGTCCAGCCAAATAGCAGCAAGCCATCCCCAGGCAAGGGGATAACACTATGCAGTCAGAGAAGTTGAAAAATCAAAAGAATGTAAATTTTATCATGCCATTTAGGTGTTATCATTAGAAGCAGAGACTGAACCTTCTGGCTACAGTCTGGGAAGACGTATTAGTGATGCAAGCAACCTACGAATCTTTCATGACACAACTGACAGGAAAAAAGATATAACTTCTTATTACAAAATGTCTCAACATTTTAAAGTCCGCTGGATGTAGAGGATGCATCACAGAGGGAACAGGTTACTGCAGTCTGCTGTGCACAAAACGAGAGCAGAACCCTTTCACACCCCAAGCTTCCCAACTGAAACACCAAAAGAAAAAGCTGGAGGATTTCAAATTCAATTAATGCTGCAATGTTTCACTTTTATGTGCATTTCTGTGCTACTTTGTTCAAAACTTACCGAACCCTGCACTTCGGTTTGCTAAGCTGGAGTAGGCATTCCCACTTGGAGAAGAGGTGGCAGGGCTGGAAAGTGGGCTGTATGATGATGGATCTGCTGGGTAGGTGTGACTTGTTCCAATCCCAAAGGGAGATGACTGAGCCTTGCCAGACTGAGATGGAATTTGCTGAGGAATATGGGGTGAAAGAAAGGAATGACTTTTATTGTTGAAGAGCATCTCAACAGACACACGTTTTTAACAATACACAGCATAAACTAAATAAATCCTACAGATACGAATGTACACTTTATCCCCATCTCAGTCATATTTAATTTCTATCAAAGCCAACATGTTGCTGCATAAGGAATACAAGAAGCTACAAACAAACACTTATGGCTCTCCTGCTTATTAACTTACATGCAATCAGTAAGAGCTACAAGATTTCACCTCCATTACAAGGATTAATCTCAAACTGAAGAGCTGTGAAGAATTAGTTGCCATGTGTTTTGATTTTGCAGTGCCACAGGAAAATCACAGTTATCTGTCTGTCTTGTAGAATGTATGGAGTTTTCAGATGATTAGGGTCACCAGTGCTTGGGGAAAATTGGCCAAAGAAGATAATGATCTGCTTACACTCCCTGCCTAAGGAGTACAGGAACAAAGTTACTTTGCCTTGTAAAAAATTTTGGGAGGTAGTGTAAATCACTATCCCTGGCAGTAGGGAATAAACAGTCCAACTTGGATTTAACTGGGCAGCAAAATTAATTCAAGGGTATTAAAAAGCAACTTGCTGTCATTTTCACCTACATAATGGTTTCATCATAGGATCTCCATGAATGTTATACAAATGACTAAACACTGCAAGACTGCTTTGAGATGTATACTGAGACTAAGGAAGGTGAAGCATGTCATCCAAAACCATGTGCTACAACAACATGTAACACTACAGATAAAATCTGCTAATGAACTATTTCCCATCTCCTGCGTTATGAACAAATGCAGAAGTTCCAAGAAAAACACAATGCCTAGCCAGTTCCACAAATAGAAATTAAAGGTGATTACATCTCTAGATGCTTTAATGATGTGAGCTGCTATTGGCAATCAATGCGCTCAAGTGAAGATTCTCTGAGACAAACGCAGTGAACCTGGGGGAGGAAGAGAGATCCCAACAGGCACATAACATGATGAAAATGATATTAATTCTTCAGCTCAATTCCAACCTAAGACATTGTCCGTTTCTAAAGCTTTTTACAATGACAATGAGAGCATGTGTTACTTCTGCAAGGCTTAACTCTTTATTTACAATGAATGAATTCCAATTTCCTCATGCTCACATATAAACTCTGTTGACTTGGATAGAAAGAGGGATGAGTAATCTTTTAACGTCACTTTTAGAATCCTCCATATTATTCAACAAAGTGCCAGCCTTACAAACGTATTCGACTGAACAGGTGTGACAGAATAACCATGGCACACTGAGGGCTGGGCAGCATCAATGTGTTTAATGTGGAAGTAACTCAGTTACTCAAAAGGTATTTGTCACCCAGCCTAAGATGTCATTCTAACCTACCAAACAGTGGAAAGTTAGTGATTAAGAACAGCATTAATGATATACAGAACATGATTATTTCATATTATTCTTTGTTTTGAAACACTTTATTCTTGTTAACAAGAACAAGAGGTGATTTCTGAGTTAATGAAGCCCTGATGTTGTTGTGGGGCACCTGATGGAAAGACATATTGTCTCCTCCAGCATGCATTATAGTGTGAGTAGCAGTAGGCAGTGCTAATGGAAAGCAACAGATTCAGTGCCCTCTGCTCTGAATTCACACCTGTATTTGGATGTACCACTTGTTGATTGTGTTTCTAACTGTGGGTAATATTGCTGGATGCTAAGAAAGAATTAATGCGTGAGCCTAAAAGTAAATCTTAACAGCTGTCCTCTTTTATTTCACTCAGTGCACACAAAAATAAGTGCTAGACTGAGACCTTCTATTGGGATTTATGTCAGCACAGCAACTGTAACTATAATGAACATTATTACAAACTAAATGCAGCTACACATAAGGCTGCTGTCTCAAATTATTATAACCTGTCAAGGAACAGAAGTATATCTGAGAATAAATGACAGAAATAAAGTACACTTAATCAAGTTATACATGAGGTTTAGCAACTCTTACGTAAAAAGAAGGACTGCAAATCTCTAATGACTATGAAAACAGAACAGCTTTGACTGATACCTGTCCTGGAAATGGTGGGCGATTTCCTGTCCAGGCAACCTGACTCTGATTTAGCTGGCGAGATATCTGTGTCAGATTCTGGCCTGTTGATGAAGAAGACTGGATGTCGTTCACACCTGGCACATGTACCACAGATGAACTAAAGAAACAGATACAGTTCCCAGCTTTAGGATATACTCTCAGTGTACAAGTAGCATTACAGATATTGAAATTTTCAGAATCAAGATCACATTAGAACTGTTCATTCCGTATTAATGAAAAATGACTTAAAACATTACAGAACTATTGAGCACACTGGCATTCTAAACATACTTTCTGTTCCCTTTAATAGTGGAGTCCACTAGACTGGATCACTAACAAATAGAGCCCTTGAGGCAGCCTGCACAAGCAGCACAAAGCAGCTCTGGGTAAATCTGTGAACCTTCCTAGTTGGGTGAATATTCATCAGACAGACATGTGAGCCTGCCCCATCACCTCTCAGATTTGTTTGACTTTAAGATTTGTTACTGCCTCTTAGCTTTTACCAATGACACCATCACAGTAACAACTATCTTCTTACCTGTCACTATTTTTATCTGAGTGAACCAAATCAGCTTGTAAGCCTAGCACAGATGCAGAGGCATCATGTAGGAGCAAAGGATACAAGAAGATAAGTTCATACAGGTAAAGAAAGCCCTTTCGCTACAGGTTAGTGTGGTTTCCACCAAACTGAAGGAAGCAGCTTGCACCCAGTCATTAGTTGACATACTCAGGATCTGGACTACAGTACCTGAAACTCTTTCCTGAATGTCCTGGTTGAAATGGGCTTCCCTGTGAATACAGCTGCTGGTTTCCTGCTGTGGATGCTGAGGCCATCATTTTTTTATCTGCTACAAAAGAAAAGCGAATGAAAGAAAAATAAATGTTTAGGGGACAAGAAAAATTACTTAAAGAAAATAGCAACGTATACACACAGAAGGGATTGCTCTTCCCTTCTTAATCTTTTCTGAAAGAGCCCTGTGGAATGCATTATGATACAAAAGAGCCATATGACAATTCAATATGAAATTAGACACACAGCTGGCTTGTGTGTACTTCACAGTCCTTCCCCAGGATGTACCTCATTAATGCTATTGTTTGCATGGAACATGACACTGCTACATGCCCCGTAGTCACACAGTCCAGACCTTGGTGCCCACTGGAAGCTGCTCCAGATCTTGCAGCCTGTTTATATGGAGGTAGCAGCAGGGTTAAATGCACCAAGAAATTGTATCAGAGAACCCCTGCTCCATTCAGCCAAGGATCCTATGTGTGGCTTGGGGGAGCCAAGAAATACAGTGCAGGCATTGTAGTGGTGTGGAAAGAGAGTAGTATAGTGAGTAATATACACATGGAGATGCCATTAACTTTTATAGTCTGCTCTTAATGTGGCAACTGGAGATCAATCTCTAGTTGAATTAGACAACAATGCCATTCAGTCCCTTAATTTAATCTTCTTGCACTGAATTATTCTAAAGCCCAGGGAAACCTCACTGCTATTTACTTCTCTTAAAATAATTGAAAGATCTGCTTCACCACCCCTTATTCACTTTCCCCATTTTCCCTTACTATTTTCAAGTGTAAAACACCCACAGCTCACAGATGGCTTTGCAATCACCTGTTGCTACACAACTCTGACAGGCCGAGAAATCAAGTCTGCCTCCTCAAATTCACCTTTGCTCTTTTCAGACTCCCACTCACAATGCCCTCCTGGACACAAGGCCCACACAGCTCACAAGCAGTACAAAGTATTTTTTTTTTTTAGCTTTTTAGAGATCTTGTGAGCTTGGTTCATCAAGGATCTCCAATACACACCACCTCTTTGCTGTTATCTAAGTTTTTATTATGTTATTTTCTTAACAAGTATCTAGTATCTCCTTCCCAGATGAAGAATTCACCTCAAATTACCTCACAGGAACCTAAGAGAAGGAGTATGTATGCTACTGATGCAAGCTGGCATTGCTTCTCCTCTTCCGTGTAGGAAATTGTAGAAACTTCTCACTGGCTACAACCTGCTCAGCACAGTCTGGGCTGCAAACCTACACTCTGATATAAAAACAGCAGGGAGAAATAGGGACAAGGGCTAGAGAAAGTTGTGCATACAGTAGGAGGGACTAATTGAGAATGAGTTGGGGTAAGGACATCTCCAAGAAGAAGGGCAGATGATTTGGCCTCTCTTTCTTTTTTTTTCTTTTCTTTTTTTTCTTTTTCTCCCTCCCTCCCCTTTTTCAGGGGTGTAATTCTTGAAATCTCTCATTTTCTAAGGCCACCCTTTACTGGGATACCAAGCTCTCAGGGCTGGAACAGACTGAGCCAAAATCCTGCAGCTATTTTAGCCATTCGAAAATGACTCAACAGCAATACTGAGAATGCCCTAAACGAACTCAAATTCCTGAAGTGGAGAAAAGTTACCATGGCAGCTAGTGGGTCCAGTGGACAGCTGCGGGATGAAGCTAAGACAAAGGGAACAGCTAAACTAATTGCAAGCAGCTAAATCAGCTTTAAGAACTCGTATTCCCATTCATGATTTGACACACTACTTCACTTCCCTTACCATACAACACTGCATATCTACTTTGTTTTGATGCTATACCTGCATCATTATTCCATCTTCTTTTTAACTCCCTTTCCTATACCAAGGTCCCTTTACTGGTCAGCCATTACTCCTCTGGCAGCAGGACCAGTGTTTCTGCCTGCAGAATGAACACCTCTGCCAGAACTGTACCACAAGGCACCTGTATGAATGGGTGAAGCCAGCCCTCCTCTTTCCACTTCAGTTTTTAATTATGTGTGGCCACTGCACGTGATTATCCAACAATCCCTGTATGTCAAACCTGTATTTTTACAGAACATAGCAGAGCATGAGATCTGGTATCAACATAATGAAAAAGTCTTGCAAGCAGCACACAGGTTTGTCAATATTGGTTTTGGATAGCCTATCTTATCTCCGACTGAGAACCATTTCTTTTTATCATTCAGAGAAGACCTTGATCACAGCTCCCATGAGAAATTCAGACATGGTAAGAGTACCAAAGAAAGCATACCCTGTAAATTGATGAGAATAAAAAGAGAAATGGCATTTCCAAGAACATAACCTCTCAGCTACCTCACAGCTTGCTGCACCCTTAACCCTAACCCCTCCCCACAGTTGAGAACTGCCTGAGAAAGAGCCAATGAGGCAGCCAAAAAGTAGAATGTTCTTGCTTGGGAAAACATATTTTAGTGTTTAAGGTTAGAGTCCTGCTACCTTCTGATGGACCCCTTTTATGGCCTCAGCTGTAGACTTCACTGTTAGAGTAGACAGAAAAGGATGAAAAAGAATAAAAGAGTAAGTCCCAGCAAGAGGAGGACAGAGTACCAGGGCTATCCTGCAGCTCCACTACCTCCTCTGTTAGAAAAGGCCATGACAGACACAAGGAACCAATGCAGTGAGGTCATCTCCCAACACCCCTGGAGCCAAACCCTGTGGGTTGTCTCCTTCATGTGCTGCGTGACACTTGCACATTGATTTATTTAAAACAAATGTAAAAACTTCTATTTTTCAGTGGGGACAGTTAAGAACAATAAACAATTAACAAGTTCTTCCACGAGCAGTGGAAATAATGAGCCTTATTTCCTACAGATATATTTCAGATGACCCCTTCAGCTGTCAGTCTTCTCAATGGAGGGCAACAGGCAACATAAGCTGAAGTGAGCTAGAGGAATGTCTGCCCAGCTGACAAGTTGGCTGCTACCTCTTGGCACATGGCTGGGAAATCCTTCACTAAGGGCACTTTGTGAGCACCCAGTCCTCACAGTAATTTTTTTGAAATATAGAAGAATGTAACTATTTCTCAGATGCATATCAATGCAAAACATCAAAGTAAAAGCTTCTGATATGATGAAAAACTGCATGCTTACAGCTGCTTGGTAACCTCCTTGATCAATGCCTATTTAGAGAGATGAACTCACATCTGCTGTCTAAGAAAGAAAATACATACTTGGAAACTGAAAGTTCTACTCAGAATGTTTAGTATCTATGAACAATGTTTAAGATTTCTTTGTGAAATGAACAGCAATAAGTAACTCTGGTCACTCGACAGCTGTTCTTACTCCTTGAGTAAGAAGTAAAAAGTAATTCACTTTTAACCATCACGAACATCTTCCTCATGTTAAGGATGAATACTGGGGGAAATACCAACTAAAGACAAATTCTGGAAATACGCTGCAAACTGATCTTGTTGGAAATTTCTCTGTTATGCAGTACATTCTCACATGGCTGCACTCCACATCACGTAACCAAACTTAAAACAGGATGAAAAATTAAACACCACTTACAAGCAGTTATTCCAGCAAACATCTCAGCAAATCTAGGATCTCGCTCCTGGGAGAAGATAGCATCCGGCTTTTCCACAGACTTTCCACCCTCATGAACGTTAGCTGGTATACTTGGAACAGGTACCTGTTCAGATGCACAGAGGAAGGTAATTCCCTCCAACACATTTCACAAAGAGGAGTTCAGGGACGGTCACACTGCATCTTTAATTTTGCTGAAATCTGCCAACGCTTTACATTTTAAAAAGATTAGAGGCACAAATATAAAAACTACTGAGAAACTTCACCTGAGATAAATCATAGGATGACAGCCCATCTCTTTGATGTACTTCAAGTTCTGCTTGCTGCTGCTGGAGCTGCCTGCAAAGGAGACAAAATGATGTTGTTACAAAAAACAATTAAGATACAGAAAAAGGTACAGCAACAGTCTTCTATTTAATACTGAGAGAAATGTCTCTCAGGTATTAAGTCCTTTCCTCTGAGATTCATGTGTTTTTAAAGCTTTTACACTCAGAACACTTGCACCACTGAATGTAATACGGCACACGAAGAGTTTTTCTGAAATGGCACAGAAATATGGGTATGTAAGTAATGGAGGATGGAATGCAACCTCCTTATACAGGACTTAAGGATTCACTTTTAACCATCAAGAACATCTTCCTCATGTTAAGGATGAACATGCCAAACCTCTTCCCTGATCCTGCTGAAGTAAACAGGAAAAGTCCAGCAACACCAATGCAGAATTACACCAGTTAATAAAAAAGTGATCAAAACCCTGTTTGAACGGCACACGGAACAATCTGTTGAGTTAGAACTGAATATAAATCCTTCTTTGTAATAAAATCTCTTTAATATTCCTAAGGATCCAAGTCCACATCCTATCTCATTTCTGAAATCTTTTAAGGAAGTGAACATCAAGAAATAAATTTGTACTACTATGTAAACAAAGTCATTACCTAAAATAAATCTGTGTTGACAAATGTTACAGAAAACACAAGTCTCCTGCTAAAGCTAATCAAACAGAAAAAATGTGAGTTGTTCATAGGAGATAAGAATCTCTGGAAGTAATAGCTTTAATCCAATTATAGGAACTTAGGAAAAATTCAACGTGCAACAGCAATAGAAAAATACTTCAGAAGAAACTACCAGAGCCAATAAACTTTAGGGGCTGTATGCCAGAACAAAGAACTTCAGCATCTGCAGATGCTTGAAATGCACTTGATTTGTGTTTAGCATCAGGCACTGTTCCTTAACTACAACAATTAGCCAACACCAACAGAGAAAATCATTGGAAGTCACAAGAAATAACCAACAGGTGACATGTCCTACAGATGAAGACTTGTAGGGACAACAAGCAGGTGGTGACCACTCAGACATATTCACATTCAATAAGTACAAATATTATTTATAAAAATATATGCATCTTTTCTATAGCTGTCATGTACCCAGCACAGTGATATTCTGAACCCCTTTATCCACTCGCTTTTTAAGATTGGAAAAGACAAATTCAGACATCAAACCCATGTGTGTCCCAAGGCCCAGCTGGGACTGCAGTGTGAGAGCTGCTCAGGGCAGCACTGAGCTCCAGCACAGCAGGCACACTGCTGCCATTCAAACCCCATTCTCAGCAGCTCATCCACAGGCACTCTGTAACTGTTTGATAACACAGGACACAACACTCGACTTTTGGCACTCTGTTGACTTTGAAAACGATGGAACAGTCCCTCAAGAAATGCTATTTGGTTTTTCCCAAGGAAGAATATCTGAATCTCTGCAGAGCACTTTCGTTAAAGGTTTTAGTGGCACAGAAGCAGAACTTTTGTGACCAAATGTTTTGTCTTTTGTTGATTACACCCTCCAATGAGTAGTTTTCTTTCTACAGAGAAATTACCTGAAAGCTCTGCACATTCCAGTAACAGCTGCTTTCTGTCACTTGGTCACAATCAGCAAGATTACTCCTAGCTTAGGGATGCACATTGTACCTATGATGCTCTTTGCCTAGTTATCAAAGGAAATATAAACCCTTCAAAATGAGGCTAAAACTCAGAGATGAGGATAAGACTGGAGCTGGATTAATGAGCTTGATAGTTGCAAATGATATTTGAGAGTGATTGCAGTTCTGTATGTTTCTGATTTCTTTCTGAAGAAAAAAGTCACCTAACAGATGAGCAGTTACAGCAGGCAAGATGTTCCAAAATAGCAAGATTGTGGACTTCAAAGCTCTGGATAACTAATATATAATTTTGGTCACATGTCAAAGGACTGAGACAAATGTAGGGACCAAATAAAACAACAGACTAGGAGCAATGTGATAGCAATGGAGGGACCACTCCAACTTTTTCCATCCTTTGATGCCTTTCAGTTCTGACTTGTTGCTTTTCCATATAATACTTCACACAGGCACTAGCTACTATTAGGCTCAGTGGCAAATTGGACAAAAATCTGTGACCTGCAACACACCAGATCAGAGCAGATGGCCAAACATTCTGCTAGCAATACTTTGTAGAGTACATAGTACACAGAATCACTTTTGTGCCATGAGTAACAAGCAAAAATGTCATTCCTCTAGGTCACCAAAGAAGCATGGATTTTCCACATTGCTTTAGCCAACAGAGAATCCCTAAAAAATTACCTCTGGAATGCAAAAAAATTCTTTGTTCTGCAAGCATAAAATGCACACTTTTCCAGCAGAACTATGGGAGGCAATTTAATCATGGTAAATCTATGGGGAAGTTCTTCTAAATACCGCCCTGTGGATAATAAACACCCATCAAATCCTGTTGTTAACGTGAAAGCTAATTACACTGTTTCATTTGTTTTTACTACCAATGCCTTGGTGCGTGTGTCAATAAACAGCACATTAGGTCTTTTCTGTTCCGTAGAAAGCATGTTTTCTTGATTCAGCTATATACATACAAATGAGCCAAACCAAACAGCATGCTTACCAGTTATTTGTTTTGTAGGCTGTCCTCTAACTCAGTGCTCCTTTGCCCTTCTCTATCATCTCTGATACTTATTAAATATTCATACCATACTCATGCAATACATCACAGGTATCACATTGTGTTAACAGCACGGAACTCAGTGAACAGCTATTAAATCCACTTCCTATAAACACCAAATACTTGAGTGTTTCTCCCTGAGCTCTGTGTAAGCTACACTATATCTAATTCAGTGTGGAATGCAAAGCCAAGTTAGCATCTTTGCTGCTACTGTGTAGATAGTTTGAATGACATCTGAAGGCTGAAAGGAGCCACACAGCAGTTCCTGGAGCATCTGACCAGGGAGAGCTGAAGACTGCTGCTGTGGGCATGTCAGGTGCTGCCACACAACCAGCCCTGCTGATTGAATGGCAGCACACACACATCCCCCTTCAGCCATGGGGTGCCAGCTTGTTCCTTTAAGGTGATACCAAACAGAAGCACGCTATCAGTTTCAGCAAAACTGAAACTGCCTCCTGACAACTCTATGATTCTGTGATTCCATAACCTTTGGACTTTGAAACCAAAACCCTAACTATCCTTGGTTTCTATTTCGGTTTCACACCTTGAAGGAGTAAATGGAAGAGAAACTTCTGGGCTCTACGTGATACCCAACACAGCAAGTAAGGTATTGCCCAAGTCAACAACTCCAGCCCATGCTGCAGAACGCCAGGCTCATCCCTTGACCCCTTGAGTATGAAACCACGACAGTGTGTGGCTTGAGCAAGAAAGCTCTCTGCAAAGCTGAAGCTTTTTGACAATTAATTCAATTTTACTTCCATTTGGAGGAAAAGGAAATATTCTGAAAAAGTTCCTTTGGACACTGAAGAGGATTTCAGTTGAATTAATCTCTCCATATAAACATGGAACGTTACCTGTTCCCTTTTCAGGCATCAAAGTAATAGAAAGGATTTGGACTTTAAATTTAATAGTATCTATATGGACACAATACTGTATCCTTACCACACTATTTTTACCATAATATAGGCACACACATTTCCCTGCTTTGGACAAAAAGGCAGTAATAGAAGTCTTGAGACTGCCTCATATAGTCTTCTTTCAGGAACCCTTGAAACTTCTCTCTGTCTAGTTTCCAAGTCACTGCTGTGAAAGGGCCCATGTTATACATGTCGTGATGGATCAGGCAGCCCACAGGTGGCACGGGGATCTTTTGCACCCCTACCCAAGATAGAAGAATTGATCTCAACAGCATTTTGGCCCAAGAGAATCAGAACTAGGGAGCAGATCTCCCCAGGCATGGCTGATTCATCCTGCAGGCTGCCTCCAGCAGTGACCCGAGCCAGCTGGCTTCAAGATGAAAACCTGGAAACTCAGGGCATCTGGAGGATTCATAAATGCATGCAAAGGAACACAGGACTTCAGGGTTGACAAAAATGCATTTCCAGAGAAGTCAGAAAAATATCTGATTTCTATGTTTTTGAAGACTTCTATTGTCACCACAATGGATTATTTCATTCAAACGCTGCTTATGTACTTTCTGTTAGACAAACATTAATCCCAATTACTATTTCTTTCTGGAAATCAAGCAGCCCCAAATGCACAGGAAGATGTGGCTGGATGGGTGACTTTTCAGCCGAACACAGCACAAATGCTAAACATTAAATGCTTCATTTCTCCAGGAAGTTTCTCTTGGATGACTGTACCCAAGTGAAACTGAGAGAAGTTTTCTTGTCTTTTTTTCTGCAAGGAACTAAGTGAACATTTGAACCTAATTTCCCAATATACTCTGCACCAAAAGCAGATTTGGAAAGCTGACTGTTTGAAGCTCTAAAGGAAAATCCTTAGAGCAGAAAAAGGGAAAAAAGAGAAAAGCAAAACCAAAACAAACAGTAATCAATGAATCCCTCCACAACTGGATCCACCACTGCCCTCTGCAGTCTTTTGGGAAAACACTGCTCACTGACCATCAGAATATGAGAGCTATGCCATGAATGAAGAGAGAGAGAGGGAAAGATGCATGCATTGTGATTTTAATTATTTTCAGTTAAAAAGTTATTTAAACCTAGATTTGTTGTGTACATTGCCTTTTTTACATTGCTTGTTGAATTTTTTCTCCCTCAAGCTTGTATTTCCTGAAGCTGGCCACATTATCACAGTAAGAGATAAAGTGTCCCTGCGTGTAGCTGTGCAGTGGAAGTCAGCAGTGCTTGGTCTCCAGGTGAAGCCCTTTGCTTGACCCAGAGCAATGGCTGCAGCCACTGACATATGTGGTTGGCCACATACCACTGAACCACCAGCCTGAGCAGGAGCTGAACATGGAGGCAGAAGGCAGCAGTTACCATGCCAAATAATGTCTCAAGGCATCTAGGAAATCGAAAGTCAAAACACGATCCCAAATGTGCAAAAGCATAGATATATCCCCAAATGGGCTGGAACAGCACTACAATACAGTGAGTTCTCTTTGGACATCTGCCTGAGCAGTGTGAGAGCACAGGGAGAAAAACAGAACAGTTTGAATAATGCATTCTTTCTACCATTCAAAAGCAGACAAATAATGGGCTGTATCTTGCTATAGGACCAGAACATTTTCAACACAACAGAAAAGAAGGAACATCCACTGTCAAATTAGCAGCAGGCAACTTCCATATTAGGGCAGCATTGCTGGGCTGTTATTCAGACCCAGCAAAAGAAATATAACGGGAGCCAGAATCTGGCACAATCCTATTCATCTCAGTGACTGCTGCAATGCCAAGCTGAACAGTATAGAGGACTCTCAGAAAGAAGCATTCCCAGAGTAAACACAATGCAGTCTGCAGTTCCACCACGTTCTGAGCTGTGGACTCCTGGGAACAAAGCACATTTAAGCCATCCTAGGACAGCCTGCAGCAATTACCTTCTACTTTGCCAGCCTGTTTTTTTTTTTTTTGCTGTTTTTTGGGTTTTTTTTTGTTTTTTTGTTTTTTTTTTGCAAACACAAATCATTTTGAAAAGAGATATTTCCACATTTATGTTGCCCCATATCAGTGCAGAAAGGGAGATGATCATCCCTGGTTTCAGGGCACTTGTTTTCAATGAACTGTTTAGTTGTTTAAATCTAACTTTTAAAGCAGAAAAGATCTAAGCAAATTGATTCTAATGATGGGTTTCAAGATGAAAGGACAGGTCTTCTAGCCCAGGTATGTGTCATGTCCAAATATCTTTCTTTAGCAGCAAGTCAGGGAGCACACAGAGACACTTATGAGATTTCTAAGATGAAATGCCAACGCCCTGGGGCTTTGGTTTTCCAAGTAGAATTCTCAGCATGCATCTCCACTAGTAGACTGCTCATTCAGCATTTCCATTACACAGTCTAACAGGTTGAGATTTTAAATCTAATAATTTTCTCAAAGTTAAACACCTGGCAAAAAAGAAAAACAAATAAGCCACCAAAAAACCCTGGTCAAACCAGAAGTAGATTTTGCTTTAGAAATAGATTAAGTTTACACTACAAAGAGGAAATATTTATAAAAAGACATTAAAAAAAAACCAAAAAACCCTAACAACTACAAAAGCAACAGCTTTATCAAGACCAGATTAGCTTCTGCAGTTGCTGGCTCAAAACTGAGGAGGCTCCAAAATCTTCTCTGCTCAGTTCAACAATGACAAACCCCTGCTATACTCCTAGCCAGACTTTTCCTTAGAAGCAGTTCTATCAGCAACACAATGAGACACCCACTAATTCAACCTCCTTCTAAAAAGTCCAGTGGCAGATTTTTGAAAGTTTTTATTCAAATACATGACAATTTCTTTCCCCTTTTCATATAAGGGGCTGGATCTATCATCATACTTGGGGATATTCTACCAGATGTTAACAGTACAGGAGTAGCCCTTCCCACTTCAGCCTATTAGGAAATCATATTGCCAGCTTTTATAGGCTGCAAGAGCAAGCAGAGCTCAAGGAGTAGATACCCAGGATGACATAATAGTACGATCACAACAGACAAGAGGCAAGAGTCTTGTTTTCTTGTGTGATACTTATTAACACACACATGTAATTTTCTCTTTGGCTTAGAAATCAGGCTAATCTTTCTCCAATATCACGACAGCTGGTCTGCTGCTGGAAACTCTGTGCTAGCTTAAAGAAGCCTGGACTGAGATCAAGGGCCTGCCTAATGACATCACAGATAAGTGAGGATTCTCCTGGTGCAGCCAGGGCCTGGAAGCATTGCAGGATAATGAGAGAAGCAGCTATGCTGCAGGATCTGGCAACGCAGAAAAGCTCTGCTACAAATTGCTAAGAGAAACAAAATGTGGCTAGTAACATAAAAACCTGAATGCGCATTTACACTGCTAAACAGCAAAAAGTAACGCTTCGGTTCTTTGCAAAGCACGTAGATGAGCACCTGGAGAGGCACATACTTGACATTAGTGTTGGTGCAGATGATGTATTCAATCTCGTCGGAATAAGGATTCTGAAAGGTGAAGCTGCTGGTTCTGATCAGCATCCATTCCCGGTTTTTGGTACGAAAACGGTACATCACAGAGAGGACTTGACCTTTCAGTTTCACAACCTGCAAAACCATTTGGAAAAGTTAATAAAAGGAAATTGCTATCTGCTGTGCAAATGAATAGCAAGCAGCAGAAACCAGAGTGTTCTGAACTTAAATTACAGAAAGCTATGGACACAGCAGGACAATTCTCCATTTGAAGAGACAATAACCAACATTTGAAAGATGTTTGCAGCTATTTCTTTCAGAATTAACCCCCCCACACACATTTTGTTACATAAGACATTCACTCCAGCCTGCTTATAAGGAGCATACAGATTCAGGAACCAACAGGTTGTGCTGTTATCCCAAGAGGGAAGCTTTAAGAAGGTTTTAATATGGAATATTTACCAAACATTCCATACAGAATATGTATTTCCACAGGAACCAAACTGAGGCATCTTTTAAATATGCATATCATGAACTAAACATTGTACCTGAAACAGAAGTCCACAAGAAAACACATTTTATGAGGTTGCCTGTCTGCTTTTCTGCTTGAGTATCTAGCTGTACAATTCACGTGTGACATACTAAATCACACTACATTTAGGAAAATACTTAATAAATGTTTTCTTTCTTGTAGACACTGTATGTGACTATTTTTGTTTTTTGCTTTTTCTTCCCCAAACACATTACAAGCCCAAATCTGTCTCCAGATGACTAATATCTGATCCTGAAACACTCTAAATATCACATAGTGAGCACCTCTACCTATCGAAGTCTGTCCATGGGATTCTGATTCATGTTTTCCTGTGGGATTTAACTCTACTATTTCTCCTTCCCATGGAGTGCAAAGCCAACACAGGTACTCACTCACTACAGTTTTTGTGCCTGCTTATTAACATGAGCAGAAACTGATGGGGGGTTCTGGGTGTTAACTCAGTGGTAGCTGAGAAGCAGACTCCTGTGTTCATTCAGCCTTTTTGGTCTCAGGGCATTAACCTCTGTCAGAGGAGTGCACAAGAGCACGGGGGGCTTCAACTACCCAGCACAACTTGGAGTCATCTTTTTAAAGACAGAACCACTCCAGAACTAAAGACCTCAAAGCATTGCTCGCACAGTCAAGCTTTTATGTTGCCAAGACAGCCACCAAGTGTCAGCCCATCTTCCACACTGCAAATCTCTTCTGTTTCAATAGTAAGAGAGAGCAATAGGATGTTGGTGACCTGATGCCACATCCAGACATGATTTTTCTTCTTGACCGCTGTTACACTAAGTAACAAGATTACTCAGAAATGGACTCCCAGTCAAAGCAACTGCTCACAACTCCACAGTAGAAGTAGTTTTAGCACATGCCCTGCCCTTGAAGCACAAGAACAGATGCATTGTGCAGACTCCAAAACACAAAGTTAGCAGGAGCCATAAGCTATTTTTAAGAAAGACTATCCAAAAAAAGCCTATCAAGTTCCTTTTCAGAAATCTCTGTTCAGTGACTTGGTCTGGCACCCACCTAGCTAGGGCTCTGCTAAGCATCTGCTTCCTTATCTCTTCTGTTCACTGCCTCTTCCTAATGATAGCAAATGCCTTAAAAAAATCATCGTTATCTTATACACTTGTTTCCCTATAATAAGTTTTCCTGTCCAAATGCTGACAAGTTCCCTTTACACCTTATTTTTCCCAACAAATGAACCGGTAGCAGTATTTAAGAACAGTATATAAATTGCCTATGATAAGGCAAACAGAGATAGGAGTAAGGATGAAGAACCTGACTACATTTTGTCAAGAATCGATAAACCAGAATGAAGAAAACATTAGAGAAGGGTAATTATTCCAAATTAGAAAGACAGAAGAAAAAGAATAGGGAAATAATTGAATGGAGAAAGATTACTAATTAGAGAAAAATTGATGAGAAAGACAAAAAAAAAAAAGTGGAGATGCTCATGACCTCTTAGATGTGTAGATGAATTTTTCAGTGTAGAACAGACCCAGCAAGATCTTGCAGGGATACTGAACAGAGCGGAATGAGAACTTGCAAAGGATGCACAGAAGTCAGCAATTATGTTGGACAGAAACAGGTAAATAAAGATATAACTACAGATGAGAAAAAGACAAAAGAGCTTTGCCTCTAATTCAGCAAAATACTTAGCAGTGTGCTGAGCTTCAAATGTAGTGGGAATTAAGCATGTGCTAAATTAAACTGCTCTTAAGGGCATAATTGAATATAAATGAATTTACCACATACTTATGGTTAAGTACACATTGCAGTGCTTTGCTGAAATGAGCCCCGAAGATTACTTCCGTGATATCTGAAGTTAAAACAGACCATTCCAAAAAAAGCAATTTAAAGCTGATAAATAAACAAGAATATCCTCTAGAAACAGTTCCAATAATCATACAAAGCCAGTCAGATCTTACACATCACAAAGACCGTTCTTGAGGAAATCCAAAATCTGAATTTGAAAAGAAACAGGACACATAATAAATCAAGAGAAAAGTATCCATGGGTGTACACCAAAAATAAAAAAAATAGGATGGCAACCTGCTAACAAGAAACAATTGCTTCTTGGTTTCACAAGAAGAAATGATGAGCCAGCATTTGAATGTAGAGAGCAATATGCCACTGCCCATTTTAATAGCATTAATGAATAAGAATGGATAGTTAATTCTTTGTTTGGGCAGCATACTTGCTTATAAAAAGTCTGAAGTCAGATATCTGGCAGTGATCATTTCCAATTCTGCCTTTCGTAGCCGAAGTTTCACTGAAGTCAAAAGTTGGGAATCAGGTGTGAAATTTCACCATCAGTCTCCCAGTATGATGGATAAAACCAAAGGCACTGATGGCAGTGGAAATGACACAACGTCTCAAAATAAGCAATGAGGTCCAAGGCCCAGGCAACCCCAGCCGTGCCAACTCCAGACTCTGAAGCCTGGATTGCTCTTTCTCTGTGATGAGCATCCAGCTGAAGAAGCGTGCTTGAAACAAAACCTGCACACTGGCACTGTAATTGCACTGTATGAGTTATCTAATAATCCTGGCTTTGAGTCAGAAGAAAGCTTATATGGTTTAAAATAATTCGTCTGGCACTTACCTAGGATATCTCTGTTTCTTATTACTCTTCCACAAAGCTACCTCTGCCAGGTCTCAGGCAAGGAAAAGGGAGGCCTAATGCAAACGAATGCCTCATCTTGTTGTGGATTCTCTACCCTTGTCCACTGTATTTCCTACAAGTAGTTATCTTAAAAAACCCTGTGCCTCCATCAACAAGCAATCAGGTTAGGAAATGTGCTATAATTCTGTTTTTGTCATCTCAAGCTGATCAACTGGCTACAGGACTAAATGGAAAGAATACAGGGGAAAAAAAAGTGCAAAAAGTATTACTATTGCCCAGAAAAATTCAGAATAATGAATCATAAGGCATAAAAAATTCAGAATAATGAATCATAAGGCATAAAAAAATCCAAAAACTTTTGTAGTTTGAGTTCAATGTGCAACATTCTTTAATCAAGAAATTTCTACTACCACACCCAGGGTAAAAAAAACAACAGACCTTGTGTAAGTGTCCAATCTGAATACTATCCTACTGGATATCAAATAGCTGTATTCTGGATCCTTTGATACTAAGCTCTATTTGTTGATCTTGGCCTTGAGAATATCTCATTCTGACCTGATTTTCCCACCCTGATGAATGAACTTATCTTCCCAAGGAAATAAAACCTTTGAGATGGATGCTGGCAATTGACCAAAACCTGCTTACCCATCCCTCCCTCCTCTGTTATGCACCAACCTGGTTCTGGCACTGCCAGCAAATTAAAAATATCAAGTTTTAAAGGGTTTGGGGGAGGAAAAAACAAACAACAGTTTATTGGAAATCAGTTACCTTTTTAATGAAAAGACTTCTAAGGCCAAACTAACAATAATAAAATAAACTGCACTGATCTATTGTCCTGAAGTATGAATAAAGCAAACATTAATTCTGTAATAATATATAAAGCACTGAGATCACTGGTGGGAAAATTGTGAACTGTCTTCCAGCAGTGCACACAAATAAAATAGCACAAAAGAAATTCCAAGCTAATGTTTAACCTTTACTTTTTTACATTCTTTAGAAAATAAAAAACACCTGGTGCATAGCTGAACTGTTTATATCAGTCTTTTATTCCATGATTGAAATAACAGCCCCAATCACACTGCTACCGTACTGAACAAAAATATACAGCAAGAGGAATGGTCTGCTAAAGAAACAGCACAGTATTTTCATAGATTGGACAGAGGTTGAGAGAAGAGGAACTTTCACTTCTAATTTGCGGGTTTTTTTCCTGCTTCCCTTCTGCACAACCTTGAAAATAACACAAATCCCTGATCCAGCAAGTCACTTACACACATGTCTAATGCTGAGCAGTGACAGCAGAATCCCCAGGAAGTGACTCCAAGATACAGCAGCAGCCCCTGTGGCCTGGTGCAATCTCAACAAGCACAGTGAGGACTGAGCCTTTAACCAGAACATTATTCAGCCTTCCCGAGCCCCAGGCTGCACTCAGACAATCACAGACGGATGTTTGACATGTTATTATCTAGCAGCATTCTGTCACTGTCTCTTGGATGAATTAGTGGAATCAATCATCTGGGCTTTACTGAATCACAGCGTATGTATTTTTGCTGCTTTTCTTGCACCACTGGTGCCATCAGGCAACAAGCTCTGGGAGCTGAGCCATCTGAAAGCTTGTCCTATGCAAAATCATGCAGTCCTTTCGCTAACTCAACAGGCAAGTCTATCTGTGATGGCATCAGGATAGCAGGAGGGGTGGGGAGGTCAGGGATGGCAGAAAAAAGGAGTTGTCATGTAGGTTTAGCTGCACCATCACACGTGCAGAAAGATAGGGTGGGTGATTTATTTTTGAAAACAGAGCCAACAGATGCTGCAGCTTAAACTACTGTTTATGCAGCTTAACTGTTTATTAACAGATCAACAGATTGTTTTCTATTTTGCTACTACTCCTCCTGGATAACGGAAAAAAATACCTTGAAATGTAAAATAAAAGCTATTTCTCTGAATAACAGAGTAGTTAGTAAGTAAATGGCAGAAGGAAAGGAACAGGTTGCAGTACCTGTTGGAAACTCTCTCTCAAATGGCTTTGATCTTCAGGATGGCAGAATTCTAAAATGTCTTTCCCCAGAAGATCCTAGAATAAAACAAAAACTGTGTAAAAAATAAAACAAAATTGTGTAAAAAGCCCAAACTGCAACACAACTCCATGCATGGATCTAAAAGTAACCCCTGCACACACTGGATCTATCATCCTTAACAGGACTACTCAGTTAATCAAAGAGGAACACAGAGATTTGTAGGCATCACATCTTGCATTATATTTGTACAGTTCCACAGACATACGAGTTTACAAACAAGCATTAAGTTAATTCTAATACCCGTGAAATGGTGTCCTGAACAGACTGATCTTCTACTAAAACTATTTTTTGGAAAACATCAGTCATTATAAAACTACCTAAAATCAATATAAATGGGAAAAACAAATGAGTAAGATATGATTTTTGCCTGTAAAATAGAAGTGTTGAGAGTTATCTGAGGGAGGGTCACAGTAGTCAGAAATTCATTTATTATTCTGTTCAGTTCTATGAGCAGACTCCTACTGAGAGGAGCAGATGTCAGTCTAAAGGAAAATAATGCCATAAATGATCTCTTCTTACGACTCAAGAAACTGGCAGAAGTTAAGAATTACAGGACTAAAACTCCCTCCAAGCCCTCTTAACTTTCTGTCACAGAATGTATTCACTGTGCAAGATTTAAAGCATCTCGCTGTTAGGATTTTAATTGGATCTCAAAAGAATAAAAAGACAACCCTCTGAACAAAGGGGAAAATTAGATTTTACAGAAGCACGGTCAGCACAGAAAAATGAGCAGCATTTAGTTCACGGCATACAGATTGTTAGCTACAAATGTTTTACGTTTTGCTGCTTTCCATTTTAATGCACAAACAGGATTCTCCTCATTAGCTCTAATGCATCTCAGCAATGACAGGGCTCGCTGACCTGGGGCTGGTAGCCAATGACGCTGATGCATCTGGGGTCGACAAAGGTGATGACTCCATCAGAGTTGTGCCTTGACAAGAATTCAGTTGGGACCGACATGCCATTCATGTCCATGCACACCGGAGAGCTGGTTACCTAGGACCAACCAAATCCACAGCATTTAGACCACAGAAGACCCACCTCATGTTTGTGCAGCTGAAGAACAAAATCTGTTGGCAGATTACTAACTACCGTGGGAAGCTGGAAAGCTGTAAATAAAACAACAGCATAGATACATGGCACAGACCTGCCATTAATGCCAGTCTGCCGTGCAATTATCCCATCCCATGGCACTTTCCTAGGCTTAACAGCACAGCAGAAAAACAAATATATCTGAAGTTCCCAATAAGTGAAGACAAAAGTAAGATTGGGTTCACCCCGCTTTGTAGGACCACACTGAAGTCAGGCTTCTTGGTTCCTGCCCTTGTCAATCAAGAATGAGAGCCTCTCAAATGACAATTCGAACCTGCCATTTTAGGACAGGAAGGCCACTCTATAGAAGAGGCCAACTCATTACCTGTAAATGCATCCAGCAGGACCAGCTCAGACCAAACACTCAGCTTTCAGATAACCAAAGTCAGGTGAAACAAACCTCACCTGAAACCCCCAGACAACCTGAGCAAAGCTTTCCAGAGGTTATGCTGTTAGACCAGTATGTGGCTGCTCATCATGAAGACACAGTTCTCCACACGAAATGAAGCACTTCCAGCCCTCTGCCTGAAACCTGTACAACCAGGCCTCTCTATACCCTACCTTTCCTCCTGGGACTACAGTGAAACCACTGTTTTTCTTAGAACTTTCAGAGCCAACAGGACTAACAAGGCCGCAAAACAAAAGGAAAAAAAAGAACATTGTTTTGTTGTCTTGAAGCGGATTTGCTCAACTATGTGCAAGATTTCTATTTACTGTTACAGTTTTTAATTTCTGCACCTTGACTTCTTTGTGATTAAAGCCATCCCCAGAGCCTCCTCCTCCCATCCCTCACATATTCCCACTGGTTTCTCTAACGTAACAGATGTTTTGACACTGCATATTACTAATGCAATTTTCTCAGAAATAGTCTTTTTTGGCAGCTCTAACACACAAATCCCCATAACTTATTCCTCTCCATTAGTGGAATATATTACCCCTGATTATAAAAGTATGATTAACTTAGACAACATCGTGCAATACTTTCGTAGGTCTGCCATCACAAAGGAGACACTGCAGAAGTGCTAACACTTCCAGCAATGTGCAGGCTGGTCACCCTGAATAAGATAGGTTTGGTAGCTGTGCTCTAAGGAAGGGTCATTCTACCTTTTAAGAAGGAGTGATGCCACCATAGCAGATGGCAATGAGTGCAGGCCAACAAGAGACCATGTAAGAAGCTTGAACACATACACTCGTGGCAGAATTCCCACACTGCTAAGATAAAAGCTCGCTTTCCTGCTGTGGTGAAAGAGATTCTGCTCTAGCTCCAGCTCAGAACTCTTATAGCAACAGACAAAAGAAAAAAAACATAACACATCAATTGCAACAGTCTGGATAAAAAGTAAAATTTTATTCTCACAGTTCCCTTGGCTGGTATCATGAATGCATGCGAACGCATAAAATGACACAATGAGAAAAAAAGCTATCATCTGTGAAGTGCCTCTTGACTACTTCATCACTTTCAAACCAACTCCTGCAATCACCTCTCTTGAAGTAATTGATTAGCCAGAGAGAGAAAAGATCAAAGAACAGCAGGGAGCACACCACTGTTTTTGGGAGCCTCTTTAGCCATTACAGCACCTGCGCTCCCATGCTCCTTACCATCTAGAATATCCCAACCCCATGCACTCTGCAGAACATGAGGTCGGGATGCACTCACATTCCAGGAGCATCTTTCTTGGACTTGTTGGGTGAGACACACATATATACCGGAATCAAATTTTCAGTTTGTTCTGTCAACATGTTCTAAGCAAGCCACTGACTGCACACACAGACATCAAGGCACATTATGTTTTGTACTGATTATGTTTTCTGAAGTAGTTCATATAAGAAAAGACTGGCATTACCTGAAGCCTTCCTATTGCCACGAGGCAGTATTTACTACCTTGTCCCACATCAGCATCTTCTTCTGGTATAGTCATTCCTAAAGCAAACAACAACAAATACCGTTATAATTAGGAAATGAGGATGAGCAGAGAAGCTGCTGGCCTGGTTCCATACTATTCTAGATGCTCTACATCATACAAAACAACACGATCGTCTTCTCTAGGATTCAGGCGTTATCACTTGTTTCAGATCAGATGCTCCCTCAAAGCCATGCTTGATCCTACACACTTCAAATACATACAGAGCAAGGACTGAAGTAATTCTGTATCCTGAAGACAAAGTAGATACAAAAACTCCATGACCCACAAATAGGCAACAACATTTCTATGAGCACTGCTCTACAGCACATTACTAGAATCATGTTGTCACTTTAGTATCCTCAGTCACTGCACACTATGCTGTTTTCTTTGTGAATAATCTATTATCAGCCTTAAAAACAGGCACATGAGCTTCATGCTTCATTTAACAGACAGTTTTACTTTCCTCTGTAATAGACTAAATCTGGGTTATTACGTTGAAAGAGTGAAAAAATGCATTGCTAACAGTGCATGTTTCAGTTGTGTAACAGGAGTAACTACTATAAACACAGGAAAAAATTCAGAACATACATGTGTGCTGTTTTCCATCTCAGTGTTTCACAAATGGGAACAGTGAGACTAGCTCTGTTTACTCACAAGCTGGCTAAGCCTCAGTAAGGCTATTTCCCAACTTAAGTTTTGAGATACCAGTTTGCTACGGAGGATTTGCAAAACATCTTCCAATAGTGACACTGCTGACTTATTTTGTGAGCTCTTTCACAAGGCTTTTCAAGGAATTCAGTCACAACAGGCAGTGAATCATTTAAGATGCACTTTAGGCATCAATGGAATTAATTGCAAAGCCAATTATGAAACAACCACCACTTTCTCAAGATGTATAGTTCCTCACATAGGTCAATCTCTGGACTATGAAAAGGATGGAGCATACTGCTATTTAAAATGATGCCTCTGAAAAATGTCTGTAACTGCTGGTAAACGAACTGAAGTAGTCTCTGAATTAAGGATTTTGTACCAAAATAATTCAATCTCATCTGACAATAAGTTTTTACAGGTATTTTTCAGTTCCCATTGTGCTATACAATATAGGTCCCTCTATGGAACCACAACTTTCACTTGAAGCCCTTTACCTGATCTGGATATAGAACACCCTTGAAATTAGGGCAATCTGCAGCTTCAAACCCTTCAATCTGTTAAATCACAAAGCAACATTTCAACGTTTCACACAGCGCTATTCCTTCTCTTTTCTTTACACATTAGGCAAACTACAGAAAAGACTCCAAACACAGACAAGTCCCATGTTCTGAGACAGTCGTTTATGTATCTGAGAGCATAAAGCACTGACATAAAGCTGCAGTTCAGAGATATACTGCAGAAGTATTTTGTTTTTCTTCCTTGCTGTGTTTACAGAGTTATTTCTTCAACAAAAGACCTAGCAATTAGCTAGTGACAGCTCAACTCTGCAAAGGAATTAAACTTGGCAGCCTCTTAAGAGAGAAGATTACCCTGAAAAAGCAGCACGGAACATCAACTAAAAACTGTGCCTACTTCAGACAAAATTTTGGCAGACGTGTGGCTATCTGCTCACACACATGCGGTGGGCAGGGAAGGCTGAGCTACTGACACTAAAATCAGACTCCTCCACATGACCAATTTTCATTTTAAATAGGTATAAAACGGACAACTGAGAATGCAGCAGTGTTTCATCTTAAAAAAGCTGTGAACAAAGGGGTAAACCAAGAGCAGGACAAATGAAATGATGCAGTGGTTTAGGAAGGAGTTTGAGGATACTGACTTTGATGTGAAAGGACTGCAGCAGAGTACAAAAACAACCCACACAAAGAAAGAGAATTGAAGAAGGCCGTGACACTGGCTGGAAGCCTGCAGCAGGGACTGCATCCCTCTGGGAGGTGCCTTGGGCCTGAACCCTGCACCAAGGCAAACCTGCAGACCCAACGGCCAGCCCCAAGGACTAACTTAAAAGTTAGAGCTTGAAGCAAGCACAGACTCATGCCCTGACCTCACTGACAGCACAGATAGCCTCTAGGTCCTCCCCCCTCGGAAGGTTTTCTGGGTGGCTGCTTTTTGCTTCTGAGAAGTGGGCTTCTTCGACACAGGACCCGACAAGAGTTTTTAAGGAAACCACTTTAGGCATTCTGGTTGGATAATCTTAACCCAAAGGTCTTCTCTTAAATGGAATTTTCCATTTGGAGAGGACAATTTTGAACTATTCTCCTGACTTGGTTTTTTCAATCATTTCTTTAGCTGCACACAGTGTATTTATTGCAAAGGACAGCAGAGATACTCAGCTGGATGGCTTCCACTTTGCATAATCATTTTTCTTCAGCTTTCAACAACGCTTTCCTTTTTAGGAACTCTGTACAGGCTCACTACTGCCCAAATAAACTGAAAGCAACATAAACAATCTCCAAAATTAAACCTAGCTAAGCAACACCATTTCTGATGGAACTCCAGCGATGGCAAAGGAAATGGTTGATCTAAATTTCACCTTTTGTTGTTTTTTCATTTTTTCTTTTTGCAAGATGGATTACATTTAGTCCATATAACACATTGGAAAATTTATTTGATTTATCCCACATATGAATACAAAAACTAATATGCCTGGAATTTATTGATACATGACCCAGTGAATTACTATCCCTGCCCTAAAAATGCCTATGGCAAAGATATGCCAAAACGATTGTTCACTGGTTTGTAGTGTGGGTGCTATTATTGATAGCCCTCCATAGATAGAAATTACTTTCTTTACTCTGTCGCTGATAATTATGAAGATTCAACTGTGTGTGTGCTTCTGTACGAAGATGCTTTCTAGAAGAAATTCACTTTAGTAAACTTCTTACTGAGCATATTCCATCGAGGACAGTTTGAAAAATACATTTTTCACTTAAGACCTAGAGAAACTGGAATTAACACAGCACAATATTGCTCCTTACGTTCACCAAGCACCATCAGAATCTCCAGAAAAAGTTTCAAAAGCATGCAGGAGAGCAACCACAACACTGACCTTTTGGAGGTATCAACAAAATAAACATACATCAGTTATTCACATTCTTTATACGCAACTCTGACAGAGGCTTTATTTCTCAACACCAAATACATGCTTCTCTTGAATAATAAATATAGTGCTATGCTTGTTCAAATTAATATCAACATTTTGAAAAGCTAAGCCTGCAACTGAGCATCACAAATAGAACACTGTGCTGTTAGAGGTTATATTTAATTTCCAAGAGTCCTGCATGCCAGCAAACAGTTTCCCACAGGGTAACAGCATGTGTTTGTGTGGACATAAGGAACTTTTTACTTTTCCCACTGAGCTTCCAATTGGCTCTAATGACAGAAGCAACTTCATTTTCTGCCTTCTTTCTCCATCCTTCTGCCCCACACTTTTTTTGAGACACAGAACTGTGTTAGTGGATTTGTGGTTTCACTTTACTACAGTCAAAAATAAATTACTTCAGAGTATTTAAAAGGACATAATTAAGTGCTCCATGATCACTACCAATCCCCTGTAAATGCCTATCTCCATCATTACAGCTACAGTTACACATCCGTGCATGGAACTGCACTGCCAAGATTATTTTCTATACACAGCCCTGGAAAGTGTGGATACTTATCATATATCAAAGAGAATTCTTGTGAAAAATCCCAAAAGCTGAATTATTTTCTTTCTTTAAACAAAACTTTAAAAGTGACAGAAGTGCAAAGAATATTCAAGCAAGTATTCTGTTTTGTATTGGAAGAGGGAGTACTTCTGCATAAATGTCCAGATTCTGCCAAAACTGTAGAATAACCTAACAGCTTTGGCATGCTGTGGTTAAGCCATTACCGTAAGTCTGACTTGGAAGAGCAAAATGTTTCTTTTTTAAGATAAAAAAACGAATGAAGAAAAAAAAATATTTCAACATTATTTGAATTCAACACTATTCTGGAACTTTTTATTTGAAGTTTTAGTAACAAGTATCTATCTAAGCCTTTTCTTCACAATGTTTTCTTCCTGCTGGTCCTGTTTTTGATTTACAGAAAAGTAGCAACAACTCAACAGACTGTATCTTCTCTCTCCACCAAATATTTTCCATCAGTTGTTACAGAATGAAAATAAACTATTAGGAAAATATCAAATGGACCACATAAGATTCATTTCCTTTCAGGAATAAGATGCTCTGGAGGAAAAAATGAAGAAAATTAAGTGCTTGCTTAAGTTTAAAAAACTGAACGATCAGGAAAAGGTCAGCATTTCTCAGCTTTATGACTGGTTAGGAGCTTGAAGCATTCCCTGGGCTAAGAATCACACAGCCTTATAGCATGGGAAACAGAGGGACAAAGGCTGGAATTGGGATGCAGCCAATTTCAAACAAGAGATCTTTTAATCTCCCTCAAAATAATCCAACAATGCACTGTCATTACTTATTCTAATACACACTACACATAAGAAATTAACAACATATCAGTTGGAATCTGAGATATTTGACTACTTTTTTTTTTTTTATGTGACTTCCACACAAAGCTTACTTGATGCACCTAAGTCCACATAAGGTCAAGATGTGATTTATGAGGAAATACATTATATTTATGGTGGGTTTTGCATGTGAATTTTGCTTTACCCTTCTGTCACAAGCACAATAAAGGACAATGGTGAGACCCAGCCTGAACAGACCCATGCTCCAACCAGTTCTGTCTTCTCTCTGTGGCTCACTCACCCAGAAGCAAGTCCCTCACAACAGCCAAATAGGTCATTTTCCAGAAGACTGAGAGAGAGAGCACAGCCTGCAGCATTCCTTGGCTGCTTGGCTAGGAAATGCCTAAAGTAGATGCTGCCTATGGGTCCTGCATGCTCCCTGATCTCTTCTGGGTGGAGGATGAGGCATGATGCTCTTTCCTCCCACCCCTCATACAGTGAAAAAGAGGAAGCTTGCTAGTAAATGAGTCTTGCTGCTCCACAAAGGTGAGAAAAAAGGGAAAAATGTAGGGTAGGTAACACTAACAGTAATCACAGGGCAGTTCTTGTCTTGATGTTTCTGCATCAGTACACACTGTGATACACAGAGTATGGAGACATTGACAATGGACAGTGCAATATAGCCCAGAAAGAGAAAAAAACAGGTGTTAAATTAAGTGCAGATTAAGTGTATTTACAAAACATTTGTTACTGTGTTCATGAAACTATGTGATGTGTTGTATATCAGGTGCATAATGCACGTGTCACACTGCATGCTCTGAAAGAACAAGATAAAGGGTTTAAGCTGGAGCGTCAACTTGGCAACTGAAAAACAAATGAAAATGATCCTTTCGTTGGTTAATTTATAAACCAGCTGAGACATGGCACAAACCCACTTATGTCCAAGAATGCAGAGATAATGCAAAGGCCAGCAGCTTGCTACTTGCTACCTGGCTTGAACAAAAGTGATTTTATTACAGAGCAGGAAAAGCCTTAGCAAATTAAATTACTTGTATAGTTATTTCATTTGCTTTGCACATTATGCTTGAATTACCACTGGAAATGGGAACAAATGTATTGTTGCTACTGATTTTCCCAAACATACTGGGTGCCAATTCAGTCTTTGGATATTCTCATTCAGCTCCTAAATACAATGGTTGTAAGAAAATCACCAACACAAAATGGGAAAGACCTGTGGGGGTATGAGAGCAAATAAACACTCAAAGATGTCTCAATTCTGTACTACATGCCCTGAAAAAGACACAGGCATGACTATGATGAGTAACAATTTGGATGTTAATATAAAAGACCACTGAAATTCCACATGAGGCTCTTGAAAGCTAAAACATCCCTTCGGATTGTGCTATGGTTTGGAGGCATTAACTTTGTGGAGGAGCAGTGGGATATCATATGGGGTTCACCATGTGATGTTGAGGAGTGCAGTAATAGAAATGGGATGAAATCCAACATTACTAAATGCATAAGCATGCACTTGGAGGCTAATAACTGCCACAAACTACAGCATTAGAAATGAGATGAAACTTCACATTGTGAATCAAAAGATTCAAAGCTATTTTTGTTACAAAGACTTTCAGTTGACAAAAACTGAGGAAAAGGCAGTCTGATATATATATTAGGTGGTTTAGGATGCCATCACACAGAAAAGAAACAGATATCATACTTTGCCTCTCAGGACAGGAAGTACCATTTTCATGATATATCACTACAGCATCACCTGGAACAAGTGCTTATAGTTCTGATAACCTACATTTTGAAAAGTGAAGTTAAAACAGATGGATAAAGAAAAGAAAATGCACAGCGAGAGCAGCGATTAGAAGAAGCTTGGTTTATGTGGGCCAAGTCAAGGCTGACAGGAGATGACTTCCTTCTGGAAAGCCCCAGAACACTGGAGAGACAGAGACACAAGGCAAGAAGATTTAATGTGAAGAATATACTGCCATAATCTTAAGATACATTAATGAAGACTGGAGACCTTAATAAGCATGGAACAGCAGCGTGACTCTGGGAGCTGGAGTAGAACAAAACACCACATATCCCACAAGCATCAGGTCTCTAAGGAGCTGATACCGTGCAGCAAGCTTTCACTTGAGTTAAGCAAGGAGCTGCAGCAGATCTAATTCGACCCACACCTTTCTGAAGAGGCATCTCATGTAATCGCTGAATTTTCTTACGCTTGGAATTACCAACAGAAAACAGTTTCATTTTTGTAGAGCAATTTACACACATTGTTCTGTTCGCTCTTTTGCGATTGAAATGAAGTTGAAACATTTTGATTTCGACAGCACAATGAAATATTTTAAACCCTATCAGTAACAAGAGGGGAGGTTTTCACTGTCTGTACTGTTTCAGAAGCACAGGTCACTTGTGATACAAATTAGTCCTGTTCTTGGATGCAAAAGTTGCAGAAAATTTCAAAAGCTTCAGTTTTGTTTTCAATAGTTTTCAGACTATTGAAAATATGTCTGTATGTATGTGTGTACTAGTTTGAGAGATGAAAAACACTGGTATTATATAACTCAAAACCACAATTCAACAGGAAATAAACACGAGGTTTACACCCATATTCTGATATCTGCACACCAGCATACCAACACAGTACAAACCGCTTTTAGCATTCAAAATTTCTCAATAAATGTGATTTATGATTGTGGTACACAACCGCAAAAGGGCAGGACAACTCCAGGTTTGATTCATGTCAGGTGCTGTTCCTCTTCAACTACTGCAAATGCCAAGGTCAGCCAGCCCAGTTCATGATGATGTCTAGATGAGCTCCATTGCTTCCCCTTGCAATTTTTCGAATGCAAATATTCCCATATGCAGTATTGAGTAATAGGTAAACTCCAGTTCAAAGAAAAATATCAAGACTTGTTTCCCAGAAAAACAGCCTCAAAACAGAACTTATCACAATGGCTGAACATTTTCCACTAAAACCACTACTCTGAAGTGAAGATCTATGCACCTAAGTTGACATTACATGTTTTCATACACAGGTTCTTGCAACTTGATACTTAAATATAAGCTGTTCTTTTCCAGATGTATCAGTGCTTTGGGTTTACCTTTTAAAAATGAGGCCATTTTTATGTTGGCTATCAGACTGAAATCTTTTGGCTTCAGTTGCTGCAATTCCATGTTACTGACAACTCCTCTTATAGCTCTTTTTGGCAATGAAATTGAGAAGGGTTTCATGTAGAAAAATTGGAAGATTCTGAGTGTGTAACAACAGCTGATTTCTCGATATCAAAAACTTATCAAGATCAAATAGAAGGAGGTACCCTTACAGAAATTCAGCCTGGCTCTGTACCAGTAAAGGGATCCTGATCCAGGTTCCCAAGTCCTCGAAGATGTGTGTTACACTCTGCCCACAATATACACACCTGCTGGTGGCCAAGCCTTGATGTAGCCAGTGCAATGGACAACAGCATATTGTGCTTCACCTTCTTTTACTGGGCCCAGGCCATTCCTAAATGAAAAGGAAACGCACAAATACCACGTTAATTGACATGCAGAATAGATTTCTGTTTTATACTATTATCGGTGATCTACTAATATCTGCAAGCTGTGTTTGAAACAGCCTACTGTGACCCTAAAGTGCTGTATTACAACACTACTTGAGTTTCACCTCCTTTCAGAGAAACATAATGAAGCTTATTTCAGAGATGGAGCAGGTTAAGAGAAATAGTTGAGTCACTTGTTCATGGTTTCTGAAAGACCTAGTGGCTGCCACAGCCCAAGTGAGTACTAAGTTCTCCTCCCTGTGACCTGGGCTACTTTGCACTATATGCTAATGCATGTTTGTCCAGGATGTACTCTGACTAAGCATTACCTTAGTGGAAAAATGAGAGTGCTTATAGCAACTGACCATTGCAGTAAATTAAATACCTGTATCTTTTCCTCATGGTGGTTATTCTGTTCAAAGGTAAGTGATCCAGAGGAGCATTTCCACACCTGAAGTAAAAAAGTTTTTGAAAGAGCTCAAAAATGAATATAAATAGCTGAGATGAAAATGCATTTTAAAATCCTTATGCAGGCAGACAATTATGGATGTTTATTTCTGACAGGAAGTCCCAGATACATGTTTTCTCAGAACTTGCTGCTTTTGCAGCCTGAGCTTCTTGGGTGCAGTACAAATATTTTATTGATTTTATGAAAAACAAAAGATGAAGATCCCCTCCAAGCCCTCCAAATCTAAGGGCTATTTGCAATAGGAATTCCAAGAGTGGTGGCTAAAAAATAGTAACACTCCCAGATACCGTAAAACAGGGCGAAAACTAGACAAGTAAGGCCCCCACATAACCACACAAGATGATCTCAGTGTATGGGTAGCTTCCCTGGACAGAGCATTGCAACTGCTGCACACCAGCTATAATTTTAGACATTGCTCTGATCTTTGCCAGAACGGACATTTGTTCTTGTGCATTTTGTGGTATTTCTAACTATGCATAACAGCATAATTTTACAATCCATTTGAAACTCAGTAAATAGCCTGAAAGATGAAAACAGTTCATTCTCGGTTGACACAAAGAACAATAGCAATAAAAGTAATCACAAGGAAAGTTCACATTATTTGATGATCATTCTTCCAGCAAGTTTTTTTTTTGTTTCTTTTTTAAACTTTTGTTTTTATGCTTACCAGTCACTGCCAATGAGAAAGAATGAATAATTAAAGTAAGATTCAGAATTTAAAAACAATGGGGATATTGGAATGCCTAAAATTACCCTCCTGCACTAGACTTTCCAGAATTAGAGCGTGAAGAAATAACTGCATTTTAATTGTTGTTTTAAAAGCTGGGCAACAGCAATAAATAGGACAGTAGGCCCAACTTTCTTTGCTGTCTCCTTGTTAGAGAAGAAAAGATGTTTACTGAATAGCAAATATCAGACTTAATGTCTCTAAAGAAATCTTTGTCTGAAGTCACCAGATTTTGTTTCCTAACAAGCTAAAATATAAAAAAATCACCATTAACATTATGTGTGAGGATATGTGGACTATACTGGATTCAGAATACAAATACAGCTGCTACTCCTGCAGATTATAACCTCATGTACTGCACAGAACTAAGAAAAGAAGCTGGTGTGAGAATCGCTCTCTAGATTATTGCCCTTTTCCTTTCCTCTTGACATGTCCTCCTTGTCTGATGAACACTTCCATTGAAATATGTGATTCTTACTGCATCTTCCAACGCTCATTATTGGCTTCAAATTACTGCCACTGGCCTGCAAGTATCTATGAAGTCTAAAGCACAGGAATCCTTTGCATGGTTCAAGGACAGCTAACATAAGAGGAGCTACAGTTTTGAGATCTTATCCTGAAGGTATGAAGTATACAAACCCTTTTCAAGTGCCGAATATTCAGCCTCCTTGCATGATGCACAGAACATCCACCACAATTAACAGAAGCACACACATTTGTTGTAACGTGTCAAATATTTTGGTTTGTGTTTCATTCCATAACAAATTGTGCACCGATAGTCCTCAGCATGTATGTTGGATATAGGCTGTATGTGCAATTATGTACTTTCCCCTCTAACCACACAGAGTTATCCTGTTTGCACAGAAAATGTCAGAACCATTGGGCAGGCAGACCTCTCAAGAAGCCCAGGCAACACAGGAGAAGGTGGAAAATTTCAAAATAAGAACCCTTTAACAATTACTCATGTATCTAGAATCAACTAGCTGACATCCAGTTAATTCATACCAGGCTAAAGTTAATTCTTCCATAGCTGGCAAACATGCAGCTGAATTCCTGTTTGTCTTCAAAATTCTTTTAATATTATTGGTTTCTTGAAGAAAAACACACATAGTTGGGCTTTCGTTAAACTTGCAAAAGCTCTGCTCCCAAAGTATTGATTCAAATAATTTGATCTGAAGAGACAACTGCTTACGTGCCAGGGTTGAAGTTGTCATGAGGGTCTCTGGGGAAAGCATACAACATCCCATACTGAAAAAAAATAACTGCAACACAAACGAGGTAATGCTTTGCCATTAATCATAAAGCTAAAAACAAGTTTCAGTTTTACTAGAGTTACAAAAGTAGACATTCTGGAAATGTTTAATGGTAGTATGTCACTACAGCTTCAGTCTTCAAACAAGGTCAGGAAAGATTAACAAAACATTTGAAGTCTGTAATCTGAGAATATCACAACAGAAACACCAGGTATATACATACCTCATTCTGCAAATGAAAGAGCGTCTTGATCCCATGCACATTCTCATTGAGGATTGCTGACCCTCTTTCTTTACTGTTCCAGTCTTCAAGTCCAGGATTCGTCCTAGAAAAGCCAGGAAAGGAAGTGATGTTTAGCACATAAATTTAAACCCATTTACTACAAAAGATGACAATACACTCATAAACTTAATGCCATTAGCCTACTGGGGGGGAAAAAGGGGAAGCCTACCAAAAAGCTTGTCTCACATCTGTGATGTGCTGGCTTAATCAACAGTCTCAGTGAAGCTGACTCATAGTTGTTTTTTTTTTTTCTTTTCTAACTAGCCTAAGACCAACTGTTAAGACAGGGTCAAATGTCTGGAGACAGAGAAGATGACGACAGCAAAAATAGCTTTTGACTTGATCTGATTGCTCCAGTCCTTCCCAGAACTGCAGATAAAGCAACATGCACCATTTCCCTGGCAGCTGCTTCACCTTGTCTATCCAGAACACCCATCGTAACAACACCTCAGGGATGTAGGGCTATAATGATGGTGAGGAATACATAAGATCAAGGTTTCCCCCTCATGGGCAGACACAGAAATAAGGACAGATGGGGGCAGAGCTGAGGTGATGCTCTTACAGTAACTTGGAGGAGGTCCTTAGAAAAATAAAAACAAAGGTAACAGAGCAGTAGCATGACTTAATCTTTGCACTCTCCTAACAATGCAGAAAACTGTGGTTACTACAGAAGGCTTTAGAGCAGCAGCAGCCATGTCTGAATATCACCTAGGTTCCTACCGCATGTCACTAAAGAATAGATAAAACTGACTTTTGTGACTACAGCTCTATTATTAACAGATGAACACGTAATCTTGCACAGTACTAACATGGACTAGAAATGAATCACTGTCCCAGTTCCACAATGCTTCCGGGCTGGATAAAGCCACAACAATTACAGTGGGCAAGAGAAATGTACTGAAACAGTTGCTAGACAACTAAATCATGGCCACCAGCTTTAAAGCCTTTACTAAGATAGAACAAAAGGCAAATTTATAGCAAGATACGCACTCTGTGCTAAGCTGGAGAAATCATACAGAATACAGCCAAAGTCTTCCTCATCACGTCTACTTAAGAGTCTCTGTCCAAAAATTCAGTTCTGAAATAATTCTACTGCCAACCATACGCACTGCAGAATTATTTTAACCAAGTATTTACCTCCATCCAAGAATGGGAATGAAGTCCTTGCAAAGTAGCTTAAAGATCAGAATACGTGCTGTCCATATGAGAATGCAAGCCAAAGCAAGCCACTAAAAGTATTTTTCTCATTAAACACATTAAATTCGTGATGCACATAAACAAAAGAAGAGCTGTTTTCTGTGCACTTTATTTTTCCTTCATTCTAAAACAAATTTGTAAATGTGATACCAATAATCAAAAAGCAGTAATATAAACGCAACCCGAACAGCTAATGGGAATATATCATTTTTTTCTCAAAAACATCTGTAAATACATTTCAGAACTATGTGGCTGCTAAGCTTAAAACTGCTGACATGAACTGCTTTGGCAAGAGTGCAGCCCCCAACAAGAAAATCATAGTTTTTAAACTCAACTTTGTTTAGCAGTGTCTTAGAAATATGTATCAGATAACAAATAATGGTCTAAATTTTGCACTGGCTTACAACATCACTGCAGGGGATGGTGGGGTGGGGGTATGAGTCACAGAAGTGTTTGGTACATAGGTATGACACAGTTATTTCAGCAGCTTGTTTCAATAGTCTGCCATGTGTGCTGTAACAATACATAGCCAACCAACATACTGATAAAGGATAATTTGCGACATATATAATCAGAAGCTAATGCTCAAAATCTCTTAAAAACATGGAGAATTGTAGCAGAATAGATGAAGAACAAAGCAGCCTGCATCCTTGGGAGAAGAGACATCTCCTAAGCATACTGTTACAGAGCTCTCAGCTCTGTCAGAGCTTCAAGTTGTCAATACCAAGGACATCAGGTGTGCAGAGCATCTCTGGGAGAGAAACAGAGCAACAACTTGCTATGAGATGATATGAGTTTGTACCAGCATGGCTACATATCACAGGTAAATGCTGGTTTGGGAAAAAGGAACCGTCTAATATTCTCTCTGCCTGTCTACAGCATTGCGTACACACCAACCACTGCTAAGAATCTTCTCTGTTTGCAGAGCTTACGTGTTCAACGACGACAATTTTGACACAGCATTACCCTTAGAATCACAGAATCACAAGGTTGGAAACGACCTGTAAGATCAGATCTGTCCAACCATCTTCTCATTACCACTGCTACCACAAACTAAATCATGCCTCGCAGCTCCCCATCCAGGCGCCTCTTGAACACTGCCAAGGATGGCAACTCCACCACCTCCCTGGGCAGCCATTCCAGTGCCTGATCACTCTCTGAGAAAAAAAGTTTTTCCTCCTGTCCAACCTAAACCTCCTCTGGTACAACTTACTGCCATTTCCTGGGTCCTGTTTGTTGCCTGGGAGAAAAGGCCAAACCCCTCTTCACCACAACCTCCCTTCAGGAAGCTGTAGAGTGCAGCGTCTCCCCTGAGCTCCTCTTCTCCAGACTAAACAATCCCAGCTCCCTCAGCCGCTCCTCATAACACTTGTGCTCCAGACCCCTCACCACTTTCGCTGCCCTTCTCTGGACACGCTCCAGGGCCTCAATGTCTTTCCTGTAGTGAGGGGCCCAAAACTGAACACAGAACTCGAGGTGCGTTCTCACCGGAGCTGAGTACAGGGGGATGATCACCTCCCTGCTCCTGCTGGCCACACTACTTCAAATGCAGGCCAGGATGCCGTTGGCCCTCTTGGCCACCTGGGCACACTGTTGGCTCATGTTCAGCCGAGCATCAACCAACCCCCCCAGGTCCCTTTCCTCTTCACAATCATCCAGCCACTCGTCCCCAAGCCTGTAGCGCTGCATGGGGTTGTTGTGGCCAAAACGCAGGACCCGACACTTGGCCTTGTTGAACCTCATGCCATTCACCTCAGCCCAGCGATCCAGCTTATCTAGATCCTTCTGAAGGGCCTCCCTACCCTCAGGCAGATCCTCAAACTGAAGGTACACTCAATCCCCTCATCTAGGTCATCAATAAAGATATTAAACAAGATGGGCCCCAGTACCGACCCCTGGGGGACACCACTTGAAACTGGTCGCCAGCTGGTCTTAACTCTATTGACCACGACCTGCTGGGCACAGCCCTCTAACCAGCTCCTTACCCAAAGAAGGGTATAGCTGTCCAGTCCATGGGCAGCCAGTTTCCGCAGGAGAATACGTGAGAGACCGTGTCAAAGGCTTTGCTGAAGTCTAGGTAGACTACATCAACTGCCTTTCCCTCATCTACCAGTCTGGTCACCCAGTCATAGAAGGAGATGAGGTTGGTCAAGCACGACCTGCCTTTCATGAACCCGTGCTTGCGTGAGCCTAATCCCCTGGACACCACACACATGCCGTGTGATCTCACCCAAGATTTGTTCCATGATTTTCCCTGGTATTGACGTCAGGCTGACAGGCCTGTAGTTCCCCAGATCCTCCCTATGGCCCTTCTTGAAGATGGGAGTCACATCAGCGAGCCTCCAATCCTCTGGGACCTTTCCAGTTAACCAGGAGCGCTGATAGATGGCCGAGAGCAGCTCAGCAATCACCCCCACCAGCTCCCTCAGCACCCAAGGGTGTAGCTGCCCGGTCCCATGGACTTGTGACAGTCCAGATGGAGGAGGAGCTCTCTAACTGTCTCCACCTGAACCCTTTCTCAGTTTAACTTCATGCAAACTGCTCTAAAAGCCTATCGGCACTTTCAGAATGCAACTTACAGCATGTAGCTTTTACCAGGCAATCCTGAAGAAGTGCACAGATAAGAGTGAAGTCAGGACAAGCTGGAGCTGTATCAAAATATCTGTGACAACTTCCTAAGGCTGTGGAAGTCTGCAGTTGCAACAGCACAAGGCCTGGTCTCAAGGCACAGACACGTCTTCTCTCAGGGCTCCTCAGTCGCTCTACACCTGACTCTGCAAACAGGATTCCACTTCTGCCAGTGTGGAGTTAGAAAACCACCTTCTACCTGCTTTAGTATCAGCCACAACTCACGGCAGCTGCTCACACAGTGGGTCCTACGCTGACTTAAATCACAACTTCATTCCACATATGCAGCTCGGCTCAAAGCGATGGTACACTGCGATGATAACTGTCACAGAGCCATAAAATATTCCAATCTGTGTGCTCCTGATCCTCTACACTACTGCTGCCTCCTTGGTGATAAATACTCACTTGGGTTTCTCCACAGGACACCTGCATGACATACCTCTGACATAAAAGTTGGTAATTGTAGTCTTGTAAGAAATATTTCAGGATGCTCTGACAACTTCCTCTAACTGAACAGTGCACATGTGCACTTTTTGCCCCTTTTCTTCTTCTAGTTTAAGTGGAGCAATTTTAAAAGGGAAATGCAATTCACTGCCACCCGCAGCTGAATCCCCCAGTGAGCTCCACATAAATGGGTAATTGCATGTTGTTCTCTTTCACATTAAACTTCTCTCCTCTCCAGCTTCAGCGACAACCTTCAGACACAGCAAGAGCAGGACGAGTGTCTGACACTGCCATCTTATTACTATTTGCAGCAGCTGCACAATTTAGAGAAAACCAGTTTACTCTGCTGCAAAAGTGAAAGCAAATAAACGACCACAAGCTTATTAAACCAACACATAAATCGAGTTAGTCTGGATATAATTGACCATTTATTGAAATTATCCATCAGAGACCACACTCTGATGGCGGTACTGCTTAAACCTGTAATACTCCAGTTGGCTTCTGAGCAAGAATCCATCACATAACCCAGGAAGCTGATGTCCTCTGCCACAACAGGAAAGGGCGGTAAGAGCAGGCAACATAGTTGAGGATAACATGCAAGAGATTAATTATTGGGGTAAAATTAGAGAAGCCAAGTAAAGCTAAGCTCTCCCACTGGAGACAACAGCTAGAAACCAATTCAAACAGTGCCGGAAGAGACATGCCTGGAACATCCCCTTTGTGTTATGTTGCAGTGTGTTTCCAAAGATGCTCTAAATGCTATCAAGAGGATAA